AAGAGAAAAAAAAGCAGAAGTGGAAGCAAATATGTGTAAAGGGCGGAGAGCCAACAAGTGCAAACGATACAATCTGCTCCACATTCTGAATGAACACAGCGCGTCTCACAAAAGCCGTCCCTCTCGCTCTCTGCCGGAGTCACAACATACCATTACTCTCCTAACACAGCGACACTTGCTCTTTATCTTTTCCAAGAAAACCGCTTTACTCCTTCCCACGCCGCAGTCGAAACATAAAACATTTGTGTGATAGCGACTCAAAGTCCCAAATATTGTTCTGTATTGTCACCGAGACAAATCATCCGTGAGAAGACAGCATCTGTCGCGTTCCTTATCACCGCTCCCTGCCCGCATAAACATTCAGGGACGCTCTCAACAAGTCTCTGGAAAGGGACAGAATCTACCCCCTGCATCAAATTGAAATGTTCCGACCGAAATAATGTCGGGACATCAACTCGGATACACGAGCCGAGCCCGGCGAACGGGTCAGATGTTGCTTTAAAAATTTTAAAAAAAGAGTTGAAATGCGGTGATGTCAACTGGCCCGCTGTGCACTTCAACCTCAATCAATGAGCCCCCAGCTCGGATCACCTGAGGAAAAGCACCCGTCTGTCTACCCGACAAACACCGCGACTCTGAACAGACTTCACTTTGCAAATCTGGAAAGAAATTCATCTTTTGGTTCTCGACTTAAAGTATGAAATCGGTCGCAGTAAGAAAAGGGACATTTTGACTCAAATACGTCGCGTCACATTTGACTCAGCGGCCGTTTTTACTGGTCGTTGCAGGGTAAACACAGGCGTTATTAATAACATTAATCATGTGCCTGTTCGGTTTGGGCGGGCCAGGGCTCTACTGGGCCTGTTGGCTGGCTGCGACGCGCTGAGTGACACGGGAACATAATTCATTTCATCAATTACACCCGTGTTTACCCTGCGCGTCACTGAGGGTGGCTGCTGAGAAAGAGGCCTCGAATATCATCGACCAAAGCTCACTAGTCACAGCTTTCTGTTGAATAAAGAAGCTGCATGCATAACGTGCCTTTTCTTAGAAATGAATGACTCACCTCAACTATCACCACTTACTAAATATATAATATGAGAAAATTATCTAATTTGTTTGGCAATCTATTCAATCACGAGCCCCAGAGCACACAACAGCATCCAACTTCAGATATCAATAAGTCCTAAAACAATTTACTTCAATCTTCGAAAGCTGCTGCTGCACAAAAATAGTATAAAAAGGTCAAAGGGAGGGGTGAATGCTTTGTTAATACACTGCATGTTTGCTCAGACAGCCCTAATCCTCACAGCGCAGAGGGATGAACCAACTGCTGCCGAGGCTTCAGGGGGAGGGCAGGAGTCAGGATCACCATCGCTGTTCTTTGAATGCAGCAGAAACGAGCCCTGACCTTGTATCGTCCTCGCCATCATCTCCACTCACAATCTGCTCACCGGCTTCGCCGCTGACGGCTTGAATTGACGAAAAGACGAGTCAGAAAACCCGTTGAGCTATTTTGTGAGCAGGACCGATTTTTTTTTTTTCTCCATTTTTTTTTTTTATTTCCCTTCAACAGCTCTCTGTTTCTCCCGGCTTAAGCCAACAAACTGCATCAGCAGATACAGCCCTCCGACGCTCGGACTCGTAGCGTACGAGCAGAAACCAATTTCGGCAGGCGGCAATGAAAAGAAGGAAAAAAAAAAAAAAAGGAATCAGGCCAGTTCTCTGGGGAGAGATAGTGGGGCAGAATGTAAACTTCCCTGGCAAGTCATCCCTGGTGGATTGAGCAGTAAAAAGAATCTCTAATGCTCGGTCCAATACGAGATAAACCGAGTGGACAGTTTGCCTTACCTGATTAAGTGAATCACGTTACAGATTGCGTAAGCGCTGCAAAGTACAATACGTCACTCTTTAAGCACTCGAAGAAAATGTGTTATTACGCTCCACTTGGCTCACCGTGTGTGGGAAACTACAGTGATAAGTGTACTTTGTGTTATGTGCCGGCCACAGGGAGACAGATTGTTATGTTTTTGGCCTCCTGTAAAAACGATTCACACCAAAATCTACATTTTGTGAAAACACTCGCCGAGAGTTAGATGATACAACCTTATTTGTCAGGTAAATATGAGCGAGGAGTCGGTTAGCCGTGCACAAAGACGGGGCGGGGAGCAGCTAACCTGGCTGTGCTGCAACCGCACAGTGACAACAAGAGGAAGAAGTTACCGAACTCAGCCAAGAAATAGTACACCACATCTTTTGTAGAGATTAAACAAACAGGATGTTCATTTGTGAGCTCTAGATTTGATAGGACAGTGCCGAGCTGGCAGTTTTTACAGCCTTAGTTCTAAGCTAAGCTAATGGCTTGCGGGAAGAAACATCACATCTGCAGTATGGACATTAGAGGGATCTCAATGTTCTTGTCCAAATCACATCCAAGAACATCCTGCCGCTTTGCTTCTTCCATTTTTTATTTTTTTATTTCAAAAGGCGCACGGAAACATTACATCTTTTTAAAGGTCCTCTTATTCCTGGTAAAAGCTGGGATTTGAATGATGATACCCATCCTCTCTCTGCCTCACAGTCACAGCTGTCAATGCATCCGGACAGCAGCAAAGGTCACCGGTTTCTCTAATTAAGGCCTTTTCGGTTTCAAAATGGAGCTTTGTTCACTCACTCCGTATGTATGCAGATCAGGTAAAAGTGTGATAATGTTTCCGACACGTTTGTCTGGTAATATTTTTCCCATGTTTACTACGGGGGGAAAAAAATATACAACAGTGAACATAATTCTCGTTGGCCACGTGCCAGGAAAAGTTGGGATACGCACAGAAAAAAGAAAAAGAGAACGGTTTCCCTCCATAACAATGGCACACTTTATTGCTTTTTAGCTCACAATGTTTTTCTGTGCAGCTTGTGGTATTGCTGCAGTATCCTGTTATGGGGAACAATCCAATTGCTCTGACATAGTTACAGATCAGCCTGAGAATAATAATCAGAAGATATATCATTCAAGTGAAAAAAAGCGAGCAAACTATTTGGTCCGTTCTGTCATAAACACAATCCGAAAGAAAAAGAGCATAAAGCTGTATCATGAAAAAGTCAGTTCAGTCAGTGAGCCAATATCACTCAGAATTACAGACATCCAGCTACAAGATGCTTTAAGGGTACTTTTATATCAGATCTGCTGCTGGGGCATGAATATTTCATTTCGGTAGTCAGCAGCATTGCAGTGGCATATTTCATATTGCCATGCAAAGCCTTGCTCGGAGTAACATTCATTTGCATTTGAAGAAGTGATATCTCTCTCTCTCTCTCTCTCTCCCCGGCTCTCCGCACCGCTCGCACTGTCAGACTGTCAACAACCGGCACGCCAAAGACGGAGCGAACAAACAAACAAATTGATAAGTGAGTGCGCATCGCTGATTGTCGGTGTGTAGCGTGCGTTCGTGTGTCCATCTATGTGTGTGTGTGTTTGTGTGTGTGTGTGTGTGTGTGTGTCTCTGGTGCCCTGCCAGAGTCTGAGACCGTTCTGCTGAGTGGGCAGATTCTCTGGCGGAGTGTCCCATCGGAGTGACAAGTGCATTTAGAAACAGCCTGATGGAGTCATTAACGGCAGCGCTGCTCATTAGCAACGCGCATGCACACTCTCTCTCACACACACACACACACACACACACAACCCCTCACTAGCACTAGCGTTGTCCGGCTATTGTCAATAAACCCCCGGACGAAATGGCACATTTATAGAAAGCCCTAATATGGAACGCAATATAATTTAAGAAGCAGACGGATACGTCTATTTGTGAAAGCAACGCACACCCACAAGCACGGACAAACTGTATTGATTACTGGAATAACAACAAAGCATCTATTATTGATCCTCTTGTCCTTTTTGCGTATGAGATTCAAGCGATATCGAGTAATCAAGGGCATTACGGCATCAGACAGAAACACACCACAGCTTGTTTTCCTGGAAGATCAGGAGCAGAACGCAGTGCAGGACTCATCAATAAACCACTCGTTTCTGCAAGAAATGCTCAGGTTTTCAAGCGTAATGCAGTTTCACTTCCACAAAGGCCGTAGGCATAAAATGATTATTAAAAATGAATAAATTGAGGATTAAACAGTCACATTTCTGGTTTAAAATTAGCAGGATACATACTTTTAATCTGACAAGGCTGAAAGAATTTCTAGCACGTTTGCTAAGCTACATAAAACCATTATAATCAGTATTAGGATTACATCACAGCCATGTGAGAGAGAGGCAAATAACGCTTCAAGGGGAACATTATGTTCTTTCTGATTATTAGACTCAACTGCCTCAATGTGACTTTCCTATTTGCATCGGATGAATCATCCCCCGAGACATCCAGCTCCATGCTTGGACCGATTCATGAGAAATGCCGACGTGAGACCCGGAGAGCCCGGTGCAGGAATCGAACAATCACCAACGCTTAATGGCACCGTGCACGCGGCGAATACGCCAGACGACCATTCACACGCAAACGATCCTTGAAGCTCCTAAAACACACAACCAACTACGATCTGAACTGATGTATGAGACGGCGTCAGAGGAGCAGCAGGCTGCGGTTTGATGTGACTCAATTATTTAAAAACATTACCAGCTGAATTATGGGAGTTTTGCAACGTTGCCTTGGTTGTTGTCGCACTCTGAAAAGAGCTGTTATGCTGTGGGATAATAATGCGTTGGCAAGCAGGCTGCCATTACCTCGATGCCGCCTCTATTACCGTGATTCTCAGCTCATTATATCGGGATGACTTCCAACTACACGCTGATGAATTACTCCAGTCAAGACAACACTTGTTAAACCAACCAAAGAACAATAAACATAAGCTGATTTATGGTGGAGTCGGGACACAAATAGAAGAAACATCAAAAGCAGCAGGCCGGAGGAATGGGAAACTGCTGCAGTAACCTTTTGGGATGAAGAAATGCTATAAAAGGAACTAAATAAGTTGAGGTTTCGGCCACTGCTCACCCAGCTGCGCCCGCTCCCGCTGGACATCCTTGAAGTTGAGTCCGCTGGTCAGGGTGCTCTCCCGATAGCGGTGGAGGGCCTCCCGCCTCCCGTTGGTCCCCAGCTCCCGCAGCACGGAGGGTTTGAGGGGCTCGGCCTTCAGGCAGTGGCTCCATCCCGAGAAGTCGGGCACGGTCCACTTCACCAGGTCCTCCAGCCGCACCACCACCTTCTCGGACACTGCGATGACCTCGTGCTGAAAGGAAGATTCCCAATTACAAATCACCGCATGAAGGGAGTAGAGTGCAACTGTGTCAAGGGCGGGATTGTTCCATTTGGCCAGAGTGCAACGACGCTTTTAAGCATACCTTTTTATATTTTCTCCATTTCTTTTAAGCATTTAAATATTTAAACTACTCAACAACTGTGGATACTTTTGTAGAATTTCTTTTTGACTTTGGGCTTGATTTGTGCTGTATTAAAATCACCCAGTCTCCGAATTGTGGAGCCTTTAATTCGATAAACAGCGGGTTAGGTGGTTTGTAATGAGTAGTTTTGTTTACAATTATAGCTCTGCTTTGAAGCACAAAACTTGTATTTGACTTGTGTGTGTTTCTCCATACTTGAGCCGAGTATGAAACAGGCGGGGAAGGAGGCATGCGGAACCTTTGCTAAACTAGAATTAGAAATACCAATGACTAAAGATAACTCCTCACAAGCCTCTTAAAGGTCTTTCTTTCTTTACTGAGGTTAAAACACAGAGGTGATAGCAGCAAAATATCAAGTGAAAGTGCTCATTACAAACAACTTATTTTAGAATGTTATATTGGGTTTTTTCACAAAAGAATACATTGTAATGTTTTAGTTTTTCAATGTTAAATACATTTATGGTGCTTGGCTTGATGGTTTGAGTAATACTGCATAATATCTGTAATGCATAATTTGAATGAGCAACGTAACAAGTAAAGAGTGGAATGAAAAGTACATCAGTTCCCTCTAAAACGGACACGAGTACATTTCTTGAATAAATGTACTTTATTTTGCCCCAAGTCATTTATTTCAGTAATAACTGAACGTAATCAGGGTGTAAATAACAGAATAGAAATACGAATAAAGATCCATGGCAGAAGTAACAGGACAAACAACAGGACGTCCTTATTTATCTAAACTAAACTGATGGGTGAGTCGAGTGGCATCACGGCTGCGGCTGCACGTTAATGTAAGTAAATTACTGCACCATGAATATTGATGATGTGCATGATTGCTGAATTGAATTTATGCCAGCAGTTAAATCAATGTCAATGGGGACGTAGATGTTTCTGGACTTTTGGATTGGCATTTAGGGAGTCACGCTGCCGACGTTCACCGCGAATGTTGCGATCTCTACGCTTTCAGCGTTTCTGCAGTGACGCGCGGGGCACGAACACGAGCGGCGCCCGTTACGGTGCTTCTGTGTACACATACCACTCTGTTCAGCTCGGCGTACGCAATACGGATTTGCTTTCAGAACGTGCTTCATCCTTCTATGTTCTGGAGGTCGCATCAACCTCCCGTCCATAAACTCTCATACTCGAAGAACTACAAGTCCAGTGGAAAAGCAAGGAAGCAGATATGCCTTAAATGTGTTTCCATTTGGAGGGCTAATGGCTGAAGTGCTTGTTACCGACAGAGCGGCGTAGTGCGCTGGGAGACGGCTATTACAGAAACAGGGAAATCTGGAGGACAGATGTGTACAGGCAGAAATGCAGACACTGCGAGTAGGTCTCTGATGTTTACCTTGGTTATCTCCAATTTACCAAGCATGCTTCCCCCTCAGACAGCCTGTGCATTACTCACATTAAAACAACATTCGTTTACTCATTATTGCCATATTTACATGCCGTGTTCATGACTGTAGAGAGGGAGGACGCAATAAAAGCTAAACCTGTACGGACTAATAAAATCCAAAGGGACAACTGGCAGTAAATCCTTCCAACGTGAAGCTCAAATGTCAGTTTTCTCTGGTCTTTTGCCATTTCAAGCTGCTCCCCCCCCCTCCGCCCGTTTCAATAAGTCCTTTCAAAAAGTCCCTCTTATTTTGTTGCCATAATATAAAAACAAACACATGAGTACATGGCTTTTCGGCGTTTCAGCTTCTCTCTGAGCGCTCTGTCTATACAATTACCCACATTCAGGTCTCACATCATCTGCGACTACAGGCATATCAAATCCCCACCAGTTGGAGACAGCATTTCCTTATAAAGGAACAGCCTGCAAGGGATAGCTTGATATAGCTGTGCCTCCCTCACTAAGTAGAAACATCAAACATGGGTTTTCGGTCTTCCTATAATGAGCTGTCTTCAGCTGTCAAGTGGTGGCGGGTGGTTGTAACTGGCTTCCCATGCAATGAGAAACTGGCTGCTGTTTCTACCTTTGGAAAACCAGGCCGTTTGAATAGCATAAAGCAAGTGGTAAATAGCGTTCAGCCTGCAGCCAGTAACCACATCGGAACGCATCTCTGCAGAAGCCCACTGTAGCTCGCTCCCTGTTCTTCTGTCGACGGCACACAACCGAAACATAACCGTGAAATATCTCAGTCGAGTCCATTTGAACCCGAAAATATTGCACCGGCTCACTGTTTTGCGGGCTGATGTATGAGGGAAACAGCAGTACTTCCTGTAATTCAATAGCACACCAGAGCACACTCAAAGCAACAGCAAACCGTAAAAACACACAGCCATTCCCTCCATATCAATCAGCCGAATGACACGCCGCCTCGTGTGAGTGTCAACAGATCCTGTTTGGGGACTTGTTCAGCTTGAGAGCAATTCAGCAGCTGTCAACACAGTGCAGAATATAATCAGTCTATGAACGGAGCGGCAAGAGGCCACGCTTCCTTCTTCCCTCTCTCCTTTGCCGTGTGATGAAGCATGTGCAGCCGGGAAGCTGCGCACTCGCTCGCGGTTCGCACAGGCCGCGTTATTTGACTGAGAAATGTCACTGCGGACGTTGACTAATCAATGAGTCCGCAGACGATCCGTCTGAAAACTGTTTCAATAGTCAATAAATCGTTGTAAGACTGGTTGTGACTCCTCAAGTGTCAGGATCACCTTGACAGATGGATAAATGACTAAAAAAACATACCCGATCAGTTGTAGCCATACACTTCTGCTCAATAACTGACTTCATTTAGTACAACTGTCAATTAATTGTCTGTCAAATCAATTAATCAACTACTTCCTCCTGCACCAGACATTACACACATGATTCGGATTTGGTGTTTCCAAGATGTGTCTTAGAAATCCACAGCTGTCCTGTCATTCCAGGTAAAGGCCGCTCATAGTTAAGCAAAGCGCAGCCAGCAGGCCGACTGACTGATTGATTGATTGATTGATTAATACAGGCCACAGGACCGCGAGCCCCACGGCCAAGAGGCGACACTCCACATCTGCAACACGCCAAACAGCCAGCTGTCATTTCAGTGGCACTTCCTACACGGACGCATTCATACGCTCTGAAATCCAATTGCACACTAAACGCCTTAATGTCTCGGCTGAAATTGTACCTCGGCTATACGTCAATAAACACGCGCATTCTCCCAACTGCCTGCTTTGAGATTGAGTCAAAATGCAAGGTGAAACATTAACAGCCCAACGACATTCCGTCTCCATTCTTCTATCAATAATTCATGTTATTACTGCAGCGGCGAGATATCTCCAAAAACATTACGGAGTGAATTTATTGCTATGACTGCACATAATGGACTGAAAGTGGAGGGAAAAAAAGGCTTCTGCTGTGAAACTGTAGATAACTCTTTCTCCAGCAACCCGTGACTTCAGCAATCTCATTGAAATTAAAATCCATATCATTCGATTGATGCGGACGCGGCGGCGCGCTGGTGGCGAGAACGGCACACGGGGGGACATTCCCGGGTTCCGTGTGCTGGTCGATCGGATTAGAGACAATGCACCATTAAATATTCCACATCACGCCGGACAATTCCTCCGCGAGAAACAGTGAGGGAGACATTCCTGACTGTCAGCGTTCTGCGGCCGAGCGTCTCATCGCTCGGACAGGACTTTCAGCTCGGGAGTCAAGGGGGTGCGCGCTCCTGGTGGGTGTCTTTCTATACACACACACACTCACACACACACACACACAGCGCTCCTGTCACGCTGGGAAGGTTTCAGCCTGCTGCCTCAGAGAGGTCAGCGCTGGAATTCCTGAGGCCAAAGGAGATTAGTAATTGAGTAATGGACATGGTGACATGGACAATGAGGAGACAGAGCAGAAGAAGGAGAGGGAACGGAGGAGAGCAAGAGAGAACGAGAATATGAAACTCAATATGAGTTCATTATCTATCCACCCCCAACCATCCTCCTCCTCCCCTCCCCCCTCCCCCCCTCCCCCATGACTGACCTTGGCTTCAGTGTCCCAAAACAAACTTATCTAGGAATTAAAAGGGAGCTCTGGGGAGCATGCCAGGGACAATTGAATTAGAATATGTTTTTTGAGAGTGCCTCGAGGGCTAGAAAGAGGTCAAGGTACAACATTTAAAAAGGTGAGAATCATTGCATATAATGTTCTGCCACTTAATGCTCGCGGTTTATTCATATGCATAAACGTTGCTGTAGTATCTGCAGGGGTGCTGAACTCATCTTTTATTCACTGATTCCATTAGGAGATTGCGCTTACATGAGCTCGGTTGATATATGAACTTAGCGTTCTTTCGCGGTGATAATGACGGGGGGAAAAAGAGCCAGATAACAGGAGTTTTTCGAAGGCCTTTTTTCGAAAGTGGGTGAGGCATCCATCACGTAAGGTGACACCACAATAAAGCTGCGTCAGCGCCCTTGAATCGCTGCAGCTTTGTACTCCTGTATTTCAACAAATGCAAAAGCAACAAAAAAAAAAAACAGGCTGCTTGATTCCACGTGTTCCATCTAAAGACACACAGGAGAAATATTGGCTTGGGTACTAAGCAAGAGCTCGTCGTCTGTGGCTGTGTTCTCCTCAAAGGTTATAATAACGATCGCCTGCAGCCGGGGGCACCGGAGTCATGCATCAAGGCAAATGTTTGCCTGTTCAAGTGGTTAGTCAACGACAAAGTGGGAGAAAACAAGCCAAAGAGCATCAAAAGTCTGCTGACCAACCGTCCGCTGCTGTTACACATCATTACTCAGGCTGTAAGGACACACCGGTGAGAAGAATCACACGATTGTGAAGGATGAGAATTACATCTCTTTAACCAAATGGGAAATATTAGTGGGGTTTTTATAGCCTTTGAAGTCCAGGGTATTCAGTTTTAAAGGTTTTAAATTACGCTATCCCTAAAAGCTGGCAATAATTTACATGCTATTTCAGCAAAGGTGAGGAATTCACTGGAGGGCAGTGATCACAGTTAATGACTTGTTCTGCAGCGGGTGGAGGTACACGCATGCAGGCTACACATGCACGCTAACCCCCAGCCACCTAAATTCCTGCTATTGTCGGGTGAATGGGGAGACTTGGTGTGACGCGTGGTCCGGACAGGACACGGCAGCAGAATGGATGTTCTCAAGAAGATCACTGTAAATGCGTGACACATAACATTTAAACCTCCGAGTCATTCAGCGGAACGACCTTATCCATCAAAATGCTGGTCGCATATCTAAGCCACTTACACTTAACTCCACCAGCGTCCCAGATGCCTGAATTACCCATTCAGGGTTTTTCCCTTAGGAAAAATCAAAGAAGCAGCAAATGAATACAATCTAATTTCCCTACAAGCTGGCTTTCCAAGCACTGAAACACATGCATGGACTACTGCCATGTACTGAAGAAATGGTTCTGGATACACGCCAAAGTGTTTTCCACAGCAATCAATACTGGCCTAGTGCTGCAGTCCCCAGCCTGTCAGTGTGTGTGTGTGTGTGTGTGAGTGCGTTGTGCGTAAATGTGTGTGTGCCAAAGCCTTGTCAGCTAGAGGGACAGAATAGAGGAGAAGAGAGGTCAGATGAAATCAGAGGTGATGATAATAGCACATTAATATAACATGATCCAGAAATATACTTAGTAGATGTGAATTGCCATTAAGAGTGCCTTGCTGCATTTTCACCATAGTGGGATATATAGTACAAGATAAGCATAAGTAATTAACCGCCGGAGGCGGGGTGCACAATAAACGGGGTGTTGTGTGCGGCGAGCTGTTATCGACGACGGCTCTCTCATGAAACGAGGGGTCCATAAAACAGAAAAGCGGAGCGGCAGCGAGAGGCCGGCGATTTTGGAGTGAGAAGAAGTAATGTGTCACTCAAAAAAAAAAAGAAAAACCACATGTGACTGTTTAGTCAGTGGCAGTTTGCAAGGCACACAAATAGAGCAGAGGCCCCAATAGAGGGCTCGTCATAATGGGTGAGCGACTCGACACAAAGCCTGTTTAAAGAGCAAGCAGAGCTCAACCGGTGGGTGTAAACACTCTGAGTCACACTAAGATACAAAGACAAATGGAGCTCCCTCCACACATGGACTTAATAATTAACCCAGAGCAAATGGAATAAACAAATAAAATAGATAGATTTATAAAAATGTCTTTGGACATGTTCACCTAAATATTCAGCTGACACAGACCCGGAGTACTGGGTTTATTTCCGTGAATCACTATTTCTGCTTCGAGCCGAAGCTGGCTGCATTTAAAAAGGAATTGACCTCCAACCCTGTGACAGAGGAAAAACAAGCACAGTAGGTCACGGGTCGGTTCCTCTCGTCACCGCACAGCGCAGCGAAACATGACAACACAGCGCAGGAGAGGCTGAGAGCAAACAAATACCTGAGAAATAAGCAGGAAATTACATCATACCTGAGAACACAAGTGAATCAGTAACCGAATACCAGCGAGCGGGTTCAATATACGGCTATTCGGAGGATCTGAAAGAGTTGTGCCGTTGGATATTTGGGGGGGATATTGTGAGTCAGGCTTAGGATAACACCATATGAGACGCGACCTCAGAGGAAAGGAGAAACACAGCAATACTCGAGTTGTTTACAGGTTGAACGTTTGAAAAAAAACGCTGCTTCTGTTTTATGTGTGTGTGAAAATGAACTGGATCCAAGAATAAATATCGAGAGGCCCAACGACACCAAGTTGTGGCTTTACCCCACGATGTGCTCTTCTGGCACTGAAACCTTGTGAAAACAGCACACTTCCTGACAACTGCGCGTTATCAAGTTCATATCTGTGCGATTAACCATAAGCACCGTTGAACTGCTGATTCTTGAGTCAGTCACTTACTGTAACTCCACAGCACATTATTCTGTCTTCATACACCAGCAGAACGCTGAAGAAAAATGACTAATGTGAGGTTTATAAACTCCACTTCCCCCCGTGCAGCTATAAATGAACTCTCTAGTGTTTACGTTTTAAAAACAAATAATCTTTACGCGCATTCATCACTCAGGCGCGCAATCTTAACAGCCACTGACTTTTACTGTCACATGTTTCTTTCTTTTTTTTGTGAGGCCGGTTTTCTCTTCGTGTTTGTTTTTTGAATTATGGGTTGCATCTGCTATAGCTGACTCACACAGTGCAGATTACTGTTGTGGGGCAAAGTCAGCGAGAATGTGAATGGGCTCAGTGAAGGTCATAAACTGACTTGAAGTTGTCAGGGCAATTTCCGCTGTGTAATACAGTAAGTAGTCCGATTTGCTGAGAGCAGGAGGCTTGACAGGCCCTTTAATTGAGATCAGAGAGCAGACACCGATACAATTTAAAAATACATATCATATTATTTCATAGTCCGGTTTATTCTATTAGAAGGCTGCGCGTAAGTGTCACGTGGTGCTCGCAGGATCGCGTGCTTTGATGCAAACGGCTGCATAATTCATGCTGGTAGAGCTTTTATTTGTCTTCTGCTTGTTATTAAAGACACAAACTACAGCAGCTGCGTTTCCTCTGGGAATCCGTCTGTGTTTTCTTCATTCTCTGAGCCGTCGCAGCCCTTCCTCTTAGTCAATATAATATTTTCCACATAAACCCAAATGGACTGGAATGTGAGAACTGTGAAATGCAAATAGGTCTCCGGGTAAAAAAAAAAAGGGGGGGGGGGCGGATCTGACGTGTCGTTGCGCAAGTTTGGCCTCAGAACCGGCGGTGCGTGCACTCCCAGTAATTATTAAATAATAATAATAATAATAATGATAAGCGAGAGGAGCGACAGCAGAAAGTCTGCCGCAGAGACGCCGGCTCGCCCCGTGCGACAAGACCCACAGAAAGATCCACCTTCCTCGCGAAAGGGGAAACGTGATCGCCGCTCTTGTTACTCAAGAGGAAAGAATGTAAGTAAAGGCATCGGCAGGAAGACGCGAGCACAAACACGGCTTTGTCCCTTCCCCGTAAACAATATCCCGAGCGGCGCGCACAATCGTTCCCATCCCGCCGCGCAGTGATCACAGGCGGGGAGGAGGAATCCAAGTGCCGTGTGGTCGCAGGTTTTTCTTGAGGGGGGGGGGGGGGTGTATATTCGCAGGGAGGAAAACAACACTGCGTTTGTTTGTTTTCTTACAGCCGATGAGAAAAACTCTCGGTATCCGAGTTGATGCCCGCGAGCGCAACAATGTAACCGGATCACTGAGCGCCACATACGGCCACAGTCAATCATCAACTATCGCCTTCACTGGGCCAACAACGGCCGCGACGTAACGCCCCTTCTTCTTCTTCTTCTTCTTCTTCTTCTTCTTCTTCTTCTTCCCCTCCTTCTTCTTCTTCTTCTACTTCTCCTTTATAAGTCACGTCGTGGAGGATGAAAGAGGTCGCAGTCGAAACGTGTCGGCGCTGGCTGCGCTCCGCCACGCGTTACGACTCTCGTCTATTGCAACACCAGGCGGCATTAAGAAATATCCAATAACTATCGCGGCGAGCGATCTGAGCCGGGTTGACCCCCCCTCCCCCCCCCCTCCCCATACGTTCATTACCGTTTCGCAATTTCCGCCCGCATGTCAGCATTTGACACGGTTTAAACCACCAACATACACACCCCCACAACAAAAAGAAATGAAATGACAAGAGCCCGAGCGCAGGATTCTTGCGGACCCCCCCCCCCCCCTTTATAACGCAATTAAGCCCCCATAGAGCGCCGCAGCGGTCTTATTGACCGCAGCTGGACAAGTGCACATTCAGCAGTTGACACCACAATGGGCTGATGGGTTAAAGTAAAACCAGGCAACAAATACAACAAATAGTAGGTCAATCATTTAGCTGCTCGGGCACATCGATGCCGTGCACGCGTCTATGCGAATGTCCGCCGCCGAACATCCACTGGCGGCTCTTAATGCAGAAAAAGATGCCGTTAAATAAAAATTTTAAAAAAATACTCGAGAACCAGCGAGAGCAAACAAATCGTCCATAAAGTATGCGTTATGAATACTAGTCCTACCTCTCCGTGGATGACTGTCCGTCCCTGGGGAGTATCCTCTGGTAGAAAATAAAGTTTGGAGCTTGATAAAAGTTGCTTGCTTGTTCTTTCTTCCCAGAGCAGCTGAAGCTCCGCTATGCAAATAGGATCCTCCGGTTTACATCTGACGAAGAAGAAGTCTCCGAGAGACAGAATCCTCGGTTTGCCGTCCCGGTTAAATTTAAAGGCTTTATAGAATATATATGGTCCATGTAAACCGCAAGACGAGCCCACCCACTGTAGAGGAAACAGAAAGGGAGAAATCAATGAATGGCTTATTAACTCATTTGGTAAACAAATCGTGTCACACAAACGTTTCAAACATGTGTGCGTAAATACGCACGTCTGGCAAATATCACATTAGGACATCGCAGTTTTCCTGCATCATCATGTAACTATGTTTAATGTTCAACATATGACACAGATGCGGTCATGCCAAAGGAAATGTGTGCAAAGTTTTGTGTATTAGGTACCCGAGTACATCTTACAGTATGCGGCGATTAGCGCAACGCGAAAATAACACAAATAGACGGTTGATAACAAACGTTACCTTCAGTGAGTTCGGCTCCATCTCGACGTTATGAATTGATTAAACTCAACACGCTCTCCAAACTTGCTGGCTTGAATGGATCGCGAAGGTCCTGCAAGGGACATATTCCCGTGGAGTTTAAATCCTCGTGTTTAAGTCCAATAAGGGTGCGGGAAAAAATATGTTTCGTGCTACATAGACTGATTATCATATCGTGAAAGTACCTGTATTCATGTATTGAAATAAAAACATTTTTTTAATGTTTTGGTGTGAATTTCCATTAGACGGAATCGCGTGCCGGGACAAAATATTCAAATATAATCATATTCACTAATAACGTTCAAGCATACTTAGACGGTAATTGTTTTTAAAAAACCCAAATGTGTTTTTGGGGTAGTGATTTTCCCCTGTACGCTTCATTTTAGCTCATATAGAACGATTGTGGTCTTTCCTGAGACTTTGTGTCTTCCAGGACTTGTGTAAAAGACGTTCACTATGAAAGCACATTTCTCACAGTAATGACACTGAGGCGCTTGCTGTGGATGCCTTCAAGAAACAATGTTACATGAAAGTTAATAGGGCTATCAAATGATTCCTCAAAAGGCAATGTGGGCACCCGTTAGGTGGCGGTTTCGCTCTGAGCGGAACTTGCAAATGCTTTACAGCTCGGGCGCGCGGCTTCGGTTTAATGCTTAAAATAATGGCCCTTTTTCTGTATTTTTGAGGCGAGGTGAAAAGACAAAAATTGGCCGAGTTAGAAAGCGGGGCGTCACGAGACGGAATCCACAAGGCGGTTCATTAAGCAGACATAAATCATCTACAAGACGATGCGCTGACCTGGCGAAGAAAGCGGAACACATGTGACACGGGTTTACACGTTTGCACGGTCGAAGCCTTTTATGTAATTATGTCGATTCATATTTATTGGCCTCCCAAAACCGGGCGATAACAACGGCAATAAAACATCAATATAAAGCCACGATTGATTAAACACAGCTACGATGTTTGGACAAAGTTACACAAACTACACGGTTCCTATTTACACGTGTGGACCCATTGTCCTTTCGCTCTCCGCTGCTGAATGTGTCAGCTGAATTTCATCGGCTGTCTGGAATAAATAATGCGTGGTGTAGTACCGGCTCCATCCACACGGCCGTGCTGTTTCCCCGCCGTCTTCCACCCGCTGCCCTGCAACGCATCCACCACTCAGATCACAGAGCATTGCAACAGCGACGTATAGGCCTACTTCTGACACCAGCTATTTCCAGTACACTATTACGCAATGCGCTTTTTATGACGGCCGGCGCGTGCAGGCGCATTAATCCACATCTAGTTAAATTGTTTTCCTGTGTACCAAATGGTATGTGTTATCGCTATATATCTGCTGCTGTGAATGTCTGTCTAGATAACATCTGTGTTATCTTCAAGACGTATGTATTATAGATCAGTTGAGAGCAGGCTCGTCATTTCATTTCTCTAAAATACCACCAGTTCCTCTTCACTGCTCTTTATTCAAAGAACATGATGTATCACTATTAAAATAGCTGGGGCAATGTTCCGTGACGCTTTGATATTTTAAGTGCAAGTTTAGTGCATCAGTTTGGAGAAAATAAGTGGATTACACAGATGCTGGTTGTCTTATATGCGGCTGCTGCAGTATTGGTATCGTGGAGGGAATCTCATACAGACCGCGACTCTTAAGTGTTATCTCTCCTGATTTCTCTCCCAGCCTTTTTCAGCGGCGGAATCAATGGGGTTGCATTGTTAATGGCCGCCACTGTAATGAAGTCCACGGTTAATCAATGGCACCACTAGAGCTCGACTAGAGCCACTAGAGTTTTCTTGTCAACAACCCGATGCGAGGGCAGCGACTGCAAAGTTGCGGTGCGGATGTCGAAGCCAGTTGGTGTGAGCGGGAGCTTCACGTGAGGACTCAAAATACTGAGAGCATCTTCTCAAGCCGCACGCTTAGTGTAAAGTCGACATGTTCGATCTCATCTGCTTCTCTATTACCTCGGCATGTCTTTGGGACCAGATAAGATTCCAACAAGGACGTCACAAAGACGTACAGTCATTTACAGGGTTTATACTCCTGAGTAAACTCAAAACATGGAAAATAAATACATTGAAACAATAAGAGTCAACATGCAGTAAGCCTGGAGACAAATGAGTAGCTGGAGAAATACACTGTGCATAACGTCGTATAACAGTTTAACATGAATTTCCGGCGGACCAGTTAGAGCTCAAATTGCTTAACTAAATCGGAAAGTATCCGTCTTTAAGTCCAGCCACATCTGTGGGTCTGGAAACTTGCAGGGGGAGTTTTTTTTCACCTCAGACTGTTTACATTTTCAAGCTGTTTTCCCAATTTCGCATTCACTGCTCGCCAAATTGTCCATTGGGGCGTTTGGCTGACCGGCCGAGTGAAATAAGAATCGCTCGCAACGTGAATTCTCTTTGGTTCATTTTTAAAATCTCTGACGCAAAACTTTTGAAACACTAATAATGTTCCATGTTGGCTGCATGAGCGAGCAGGGACGCCTGAAAAAATGTCCACAATGGAGGAACTGGAAAGGCCTTATTATGGGCCATATTGTAGCGAATGAGGCGGCGTCAGCAGGGAGCCACAAATGACCTCGGAAAGTCCTGTCGAAAATAAGAGAGCCGGGGCTACCGTTGCAACCCCAGCAAAGCAGTACAAAGAGCAATAAAATAGAACGTTTCCACATGACCTACATGATGAGTATGAATATCAGGATGCCTTGCATGGTGTTAGAGCTGCAGGTATGAAAATAACTCACAGAGCGCTGCGAGGATGAATCGAATCCACCCTTTGATGGTCCGATCCACAAGAAATCAAAGGGCCAATATTATTTATTAGCATTTCTTCATTCCTTTGAACAGAAAACAGTTAATTTGGCTTATGAGCCTTTACAGAATCAAAGACATGTTCATTTAGCACACTTTGCACAACGGTAAGTCATTAAATCACAGCTTAATCTTTGTATGTTGCTGCTTTTTTCAAAACATTGGTTTTATTGTCCTTGTGCAAACAACATGATTTAGTAGCAATTATGTTGATTTAGTGTCTATATATAGTCAACACCTGACTGTCAAAGCAAACAAATGACTCAACATCAATTTAATTGAAATAAAAAACATTATTTAATAGTACTGTTCAATGTTCTTCTCTCATTTCAAGTAACGGAATCGTCCTCTCCCCGTGGCTTTGAATTCACTTCACTCAGGTGTGAGGTCATCCAGAAAAGACACAATCTGCCTGTTGTTGAGAGAGAGTGTGCAGGGACTCTATCTGTGATCATTGAAACCACTTGTTTCACATCGACACGCCTCCCTGTTTACATAATTGTTGGGCCGCGATAAAAATGTGTTGGTGGATTCATCACGTCAGGCTCTTGGATTGTTTGTTCTCTGTGCTTTCATTTCAGATCTGAGTGGGTCGGTTTGCTCAGGAGCTGTGTGATTAGTCTCGCAGTGGTTCTTCACATTATTGCTTTTAATAATCACCACCGTCTCTGAGCAGAAGAGACACATAAAGGTCAATGCATTTATAACTCTGTCCCTTCTCTCTCACTCGAGTCGGGATGCTTATCGGGAATCCGCGCATTCGATTGGCTGAGTAGCGTCTCGTGAAATGATGCTATTTGTCGGTGAGTTTCGGTGAGAATGGCTCTATCAAAACGTTTTATTTCTCTCATTTATCTATTGGTATTAGGTCCGGATACAAGCCTGTCAGCCTATTGGTGACGCGTGTCAAACCCACCTGACACAGGGGAGAATTTCCACCGGTTACAATCTGCAACATCATCACTAGATGACACCAAATCCCACGACCTGTACCTTTACGTAACAAATGAGTAACTCGTTGAGTAGAGAAAAAACACACTGGAAAAATATTTCTTATTTTTAAATATTTCTCCAACATATCATTTTACAGCCCAAATGTTCTCCCACTCGTCCATTTTCCTGTCAATGTGATACTGGAATCCAAACTTCAGACATTGGCAGACATTCAGAAAATCTACAGACGACTAAAACAAGAACACCTCTGAGAAATAAGTGCAGCACGCGCGCCGATTTCTAGTAATTCGCAATTGCATTACCCCAGAGGACAGCCATCTATCATCAATGGAAAGCCCTGGGACATTAAATATCCATCAAGTAGATTTGTCCAGAGGAACATGTTTCACTAGTAACTTTACACCTCGGTCTTTATGCTGCTGTAATGACATGACAATGCCCCCCGCCCCCCCCCCCCCCCCCCGGCTTGGGGGAGACTTTAGGGAAGGTAACAGGGAAACCGAGGGATGTTGGCTGGGCTAATTTAAAGCCTCTTAGACTCATTATGTGCTGGTGTTACCTTTCCCTCCGTCCGATCACATGCGAGTCCGCCAACAGTCGACGGCACATGCACGCTTGGAAATCCAATTAGTTTAGTGAAGGGTTCACTTTTAATCAGGACGTGAGTTGGAAGTGTTCATCTGGAGGCGATTTGAGATGATTTCTGCGTGCATTAGCAGGTGTCAGCCGGCGTTGGCTGAATGTTAACTGACTTAGCTCATAAATATCTGGGACGCAGTTATATCTTCAGAACATCAAAGCAGTTGCTGCGTGCAGCGAAATGTGTGAGCTTTGCTCTTCACAGCAGAATGAAAAGGCTTCTGAAAAAAAAAAATGAAAAAAACACATTTATCTATTTTTGTTCTTATCTGTGTTCACACTTGTTTATCCGAGCCACGTTTCATCACGTTTTATGCATAACTCATGCTTGGTGCCATCCATCTATTCAGTCACAACAGTCAACATTAAGCTAAGTCGTTTTCAACAAACCAATTATTGAATAAGTTCATGGCTGCGGTCATTGATCATGGATAATATATTCATATATATGTTAGGTGGTGATTCATGAGGCGAGCTGGTCTGAACGACTGCCATGAGAGTGAACTAATTGCTTGCAGTACACAATTTCCCATTCGTGGACCACTATTAGAGCTGAATTGTTTGATAATGTCAAGTGAGTCATTTTATTAAGCGCCACACAAATGTAATCATGCAGCGGGGCAACGTGAACTCGAGTGTATACAAGTGTTAACATCGCTATGGGTTTTAGGTTATTAACGTCACAGCAAATGTAAATTTGCCTTATTGAATCAGAAATGTGCAAAGCACAAACAAAATAGGCTGCTTCATTCCTCTCCCATCTGCATACACATCAGGACTCTCTCTCTCTCACACACACATACACACAGTCACATTTGATATCAGCACATCTGAAACCAGGATTAGAAACATGAATAATGTATTTATGCAAATGCCTGATGGGTAGAACTATGAAAGATGAGAGTGATTGAAAAGGCATTTTGTTAGATTGAGTTACTGCCTGTGTGTTATAGATGTTTTCAGAGAGAGAGAGAGAGAGGCAAATACCACTGAATCTTAAATGGAAAAGAAGCTGTATTTTTGAAGAAAAGAGGTCACGGTGTAACCTCCGCGTCTGAGGAATACATTAATACGCAACCTTTTTTTTTTTTTTGCACGGTGCAATTCAAACATCAGCCAGGTTATTAGACTGTGGTGCACTATGAAGTCGCTGAGGACGGTGACCTCAGCGTTTACCATCTGTGCAACGCATCACCCACTGTCTTTCCCCGTCAAACACGGAATTGTTACGAAACGGCCACAAATGTGTCAGCAGACGTCTCTGATCAGATTATTCACCCTCCCATCTGGGCCGAGAGAAAGTGTATATGTCAAAGAATCGGGTGTAATTGCAATTACGACGCAGGCGTTTTGCGCTGGGTGTCGTCAAGATTTCACATCATGTATTCTCTTTGAGTAGCAGCTTCAGTTGTCCCGCGCGCCACACTATCGTAATGTGTGTAATCCCTGTGATGTATCTGCAAATCAGGACACGGCGAATCGGCCGATGCGAGACTGGAGAGAACGGGGTACCTTTTGAAATATGACTGACAACTGGTGAATTGTTCCATTACAGCAGAGCAGGAGAGGAAATACAGTATTTTCTTCCGAGCTTAGAGCCTGAGCACACATATTAAACAGGGTGGGGGGGTGAAAAAACTCTTCACCATTAATAATTTATCTCATTTTACAAGGCAATTTAGCAGTCACTTGAAGTTGCTATGGTGACAGGGGGGTATTTTGAGACAACTAATGACCTATGCAAAACCCACTCACTGTAAACTTCACTGAGGCTAAATGAGATTGCTGTCTGTGCTGCGGCGTGTGATACATGGCTGAGAACTTAATCCCCACGCTGTGCACGGCCTTTTTTTCTGCAGAGGACAAATTAAGGTTCTTAATATCGATGTAAAACATCTGTGTGCTGTTTACTGTACAGGGAACATGAACCAAGCAGCGCAGCGCCGCACAATGGTCTTTTGTTGTGATTGCTAATGTAGAATTCATAACGGTTGTCAGGTTGAGTAAAAAAAAGGAATCCTGCCAGTGAAAAGGAAAATGAATACTCATGACACGGTTTGAATGTAACTCAATACGCTTCACACCAAATCCCCTCCGATGTCTTTTTTTTGTGTGTGTTTTTCGGCTTACGTCAAAGATTCCACATTAGGAAAGCTTTGAAGACTCGTTCTGTTCCGAGGCGAATCATATTTGTCCAATAACGGCTTCGCCTGTTGCAGCTGTCGAGGCTGAGACAGAATGAGTCATGTGTTATCCATTCAAGTCCAATTTCTCCCATGCAAATTCCTGACATGTGTGACTCTGCGGTGCCCCGGAGTTGAAACAGTATTTTCAGAAAGCAGGAGAGAGAACGAAGGCCAGAGCTGTGTGACCATTTAGCCACCTGCTTGGCCCGTGACCCGCACTGTTTAAAGAAAGTTTCTATTTGGGAAACAATCCACTCGGGTTGTTTCAACCGGCTTTTAAAGAAGGTGCAGCTGCCATGAAATTAAACGAATAAACAAAAGGAGGAATGGGTCCTGTGGTTTCTCCTTAAAAGGAGCCCTCTTTTGGAAAATATGAGTTGCACTGAGCTGTGTGAAAACATTTTCGAATTCCTAAAAACTAGTTTTGACAAACACATGGAGTGAGGCTGCCGGTTTTAATGACACCTCTTGAGCGCCCCCCCACATCTCCTCTCCATAGTGGGCTGAGCCAAATGTCCATTAGCATAGAAGTCAGGTTGATTAAAGGTGTGACTCTTTTACTCCAGCTGGAAGCTTTGGTGATGAGCGCCATCTGCTGGGATACAGCAGTAATAACGCTGAGCTGGTGACAGACGTGTTAAACGAGGTTGCGGAGGTTAATTCAGTGTGTAACATCATAGTAGATTATCAGTCAGCCCGTCTGGGGGGAGATGCAGCTAAAGATAAAAGCTGCTGTCAGTGTTGAGTAGTAAGTACAGTTGGGCCCATTAAAATGCTACTGCTACTTTATACTTACACTCATCTTTATTATTATTAAGATTTACATTCTTAATACCAAAAGAATAAATTATGGTTTTTACACTTTGATCCTCAAGGGTGAATTCACAAGACACAAAGCAGTATATAAGGCGATTAAAACGAGATCTTTCTTAATCATCTGTCATTTTAAAATGATTGACACAAATATATTCAATATTTCTGATTTCGGCCGTGCAAGACAATGAGCACGCCTACTTTTAACCTCTGTAATCAGAGGCTTTTTAATGCTTAGACTTTTGTGTTGTTAAATTTAAATGCGTGTGGAGTATTTCTATGCTATAGTATTGCTATTTTTACTTAAGTAACAGGCGTGAGTACTTCTTCTGCAGGCTGCAGCAATAAATAAAACCTGAAACGCCGCTAATATTCTCTTGATGCCCAGTGTGCTTTTAATGTGACTATTATAAGATTTTAATGCTTGAAACATCAATATATTTTCTTATGTTTTTGAAAAGAAACAACTGGTAGTTGGTTAGCTAACTAATTATCACAATAATTTAAATTATAAGAGAGTTGATTTATTCTGTGTGCACTGTCTTTGCTGTCACAGCAAACACGAGCTTTGAAGCCGTGCAGATTGTAGCGGCTGAGGGGAATGCTTTCATTCTTTCTGATCTCCACTCAGACAGGAAGTGAGTCTCGGGCAGGGCGTGTGATACTGCTTCTGAGGTCAACAAAGGTGGGTGTTAAGACTCTACAGAGTGAGTTTCTGTTGTCGAGAAGGAACACTCAACTAAAATGGGCTTGATTTTTGATGTAGTGCCACTTTTTTGTTATTTATTTTGGACGTCTGGGGTATGTTTACAGAAATACACAAAGTGCTTTCTTAAAAAAACTATTCTTGAAGACAGGATGTAAAATCTCTCCCTACAGCTGGACGCTCTCTCCCCCCACTTGTTTCACTTTCTGAAATTCTCATTGTGATTTCCTGTGATGCAAAGCGAGATGATGACTGACACTTTGCAACAAACACAGGAAAATCCTGTCTCCTTTCCCAGGTCACAGGCATTCCCACTGTTTCCTCTCTGCTACACTGGCTGGACAAATTCATTTTGACAGAAATCTACTCGATATTCCACCAAGTGGAGGAAAACGGCTCTGTGTGTTTGTGTGTGTTTTATCCTGTTTGGACACCAGCTGATATGTCACTTCCTGCATGGTAAAACGATAATACTAATAGTAATAACATCGATAAAGATATGTGAATAGATTGTTGTCAGGGAACGGTGGAGAAGGCAGGACTCAAATGCAGAGTTCGAGTTTGAAAGGGGGGGGGGCAGGCAGGAACGAGGAACATCCAGAACGATTGACAATGACGCGACAAGTGACAGGAGACAGGCCATACACACAGCTTAAATACACTAGGGAGGTGCAAGTGATTGGGCACAGGTGGAAACAATCAGACAATCACAGACGATGACAGGACAAGGCAGGAAGTGAAGTTACCCAGGGAGACAAGAAGCAGAAAACTACAAAATAAGACAGGAAATAAAACCACACCGTGACAATTTTGGCTAATGACCAATGGGCAATAACTCATTTATGCATATTCTTAATATGTATTATTAGAAATGTTATACTCTATAAGCCTAATTACAGTATTCACCTGTTCGGGACTTTTACTAACTTGATGAACAGCAGAGGAAGTGCTCTCCGTGTTATTTACTCTGATGAACGAACAGACGACGTGATGCCGCCCTCTCCTGTACATTCTCATGTTTTATTGTCGAACCAAATGTCATTCATGACTCATGGATCTCTAGCAGATAAACCCGCGATGGTCTTTATTTTCTGGGCGTGGCTTAAACTTGACTTTTCCGAAAAACTTCAACCCCCTCCACCCCCTCACACACACACACACACACACACACACACACACACACACACACACACACACGCACACGCACCCTGTTGAAGCAGCAGCCACCGCCAGCATTGTGGGATTCTTCTTCAGGAATCGCTCATATCCAACCGTCTGCAAGATGTGGATGTTCCAGTTTATTAGTGCGATCACAACTCGCGCGTTGTTCATCCTCGTGTCTCTGCTCGGCATCTGGAGGGTGACGTGGGTGAAGCAGGGACACTTCTACTGGCTCCTCGCGGTCTTCTTTCTGCCGCTTGTCATTGAGATGATAATAACGCTGAAGAGGCGCAAGGGACAAGATTATAAATGGTAAGGCGGGGTGCATGCTGTTAAGTGATTATATTGATTTTATGCTAACGGGGCGAACTTGGAACGTGTGGTATGAACATCTAAACGTATTTTTTTATGCAACAACTTGGTTTGAAGATATTCCCTCCATGCTGAATACTTAAGGAGTATAATGCATGCATGTGTTTGGGTTTATGTGATGTTCCCCGTTTACATTCCTTCCCCCCGCCGCCATAAATACTCTGCATCCTGCTTGTCCCCCCCGCTGCTATTGTTCCCCTGGTCCTGTTTGGGACTGTGAGGATGGGGTGGCCACCCTTAACATCCCTTATCAGCCTTCTTTGTTTATATTTAATCTGCAGATGTTGTGTGGCGGAGGATTTGCACAGACAATCGGAAAATAAGAATAAAGGCTCTGAATCAAATATGTCTTTCTCCGTTTATTTCCTTGCAAGGGAAAAAAGGTCATCAAGAGTCATTTTTTCTTACACAACAACTTTGTTGTTACACTGCAGCTCAATACTTCCCCATAGCCACACACTCCCAGTCACTGCAGTCTATAAACTGTTCATACATTGAAACATTTGAAGGGTTACGTATATTTTTCCCATAACAATTACTGTAAAATAGCACAGTCGGCTTCAGTCAATATAAATGAAAGATTATATTTATTTGTAAATAGAAATAATCCAGTCATTGATTTACATTCCAATGTTCAGAGATGTCTGATTAACCTAGCTTTTCTAGAAACATTTTCCTGTGGAATTAACATGATATATAGTAAAGTTACAATAGAATACCAATTGTAGGGCTGCAGCTAATGATTGTTGTCGTTATTAATTCATTGGAATTTATTGTAGTTTATAGACTATATGAGAAAATAGAAACGCCAATGAGCACATCTTCTAATGTCAACAGTCTAAAAACCCATAATATTGTATTTAACTTTATATAAGACAGACAAAAGCAGAACATCTTTATATTTCAAAACTAGATCCTGTACATTTTGCTTTGAAAATGGTTAAATAACTGTTTCATTCATTCAGTTTCATTATTAACAAATTGATTTAAATTCTTTTACCATGCGTCTTTATGAATTTGTGTTAATAAGGACCTTGGGGTTGTCTTGCAGGTTTTCTCCTGCTATCTTTCTATTTCTCATCAGTATTATTCCCTCCATTTGGATCCTGGAGCTCCACCATCAGCATGAAAAACTCAACATCTCCCAGGTTCTCCAGACACAGAACTACTTTGTCTTGATGCTTTCTCAACATGTAATCTAATGACAGTTGTCGGTGCGTCTACAAACTACACTTTTAAACATTTTATACAGAGAAATGTTAAGTGATCTGTTTCTTTCAACGGTTTTCAGTGCAAAAAGCTCGACTCGTGGCAGAATCTGCACATGCTGATCTCTGACAACGGGACCTCGGGAAACGTCACATCCCAGAGCTACCTAAAGGTAAGTTAGGACCGTATGTATAGTAGTCTAACCAAGAGCTTCTACATAATGCAACTATTGCCTCAACTTGGAAAGCTGTCCAATCTTCTTAAGAATGCTGCTTGTCGTTCTAATTAACTATCCCTCTGTTACAGTCACTTGATTTTAGTTTTCCACAATGTTTTTTCTTTTTGTTTTCAGATGTTGGTACAATGACGAATGCTTTCAGATCATGCATTTTGCCCGCAGACTTCTGTAAATAATTTCACAAATGTTTACTTTTTTTTAAATTTCCTCACTGTATCAGAGCATAATCCTGTGTTTGTGTGATCTGATTCCTCAACGTTATGACAAGCAGCACAGAGGTACTACGGGTTCCTTGATGCGAGTTACTCCCGAGCGGGGACTCGGTCGGATTCGCATATTGCCAGTTTGAATGAAATGCAAAAGAAATAAAAGCCTGATTCTGTCAAACTGTCTATTCAGAAATACTCCACTTGTGTAAGAAAAATAATGAACTTCATATAAACACAGGCCTGGATTCTGGGAATCTGGTCATCTGGTAGTGATTTAAAGCAAAGGTTGAGCAAAGGTCGATAGAACTCAAACAAAAAATCTGTTCAAACAATCCCCTCTTTTGCTTGGATCTGAAAAGTATTTTTTTTTCAATTAATGTTTTTTTTTCATTAATGTTTTAAAACTAAAAGATCAGGATCTGAGTTCTCTTGGGATTTAACTATTAGCCAGCATTTAATACTAAACAGATTAGTTAGTGATTAAAATTACAGTGCAGAGGCTCCCTGCCAATAATAACAAACACATCCGCCTGAAAATCTTCAGTAACCGAACAAGGGGAGCAGTTAAAATGGCTTCAATAAATAACCACAAGACCACCACCCTTTAGCCTGGAGGATCGGAAAGCGTTGGGACGCCTCAAAAAGCCTTCAGTCAATGCCTCAGCTCCTTATTGTGTTTCCATTTAAAAATCTAATACCTCATCGTGCAACGTAATGGAGTCAATAAAGGGAAATTCTGAGGTGATTTTTTATATTTTTTGGATGCAAAGTTCCTGACAGACGTAACTCTCAATCTCTCCTCTCCTGTCTCAGAGTTTGAACGACATCTTAAAGACCGTCTGTCCCAACGACTGGATCCTGGCTCTTCATCAGAGCGTGCTCATCCTCGTCATCGTGGGGAAGTGGCTCCTCCCGTCGGGAGGCGGAGTCACGCGTGATGAACTCTCGCAGCTTCTCCTCATTTTTGTTGGCACTGCAGCCGATATCCTCGAGTTCACCAGTGAGACGCTGTCAGATGTCAAGTGGGTGGATTAATCATGCTTTGCACACGAGTACGTTCACGCTGTCGTGTAATATACGATGGACGTCCATGGGTCGCTCCTGTGGTTCCAGGAGGATCGAACACTGTTTGGTCAACTTCCACATCCATGTTGGCATTGCGCTGTCCTCCTTAACGTGCTGATCCAAATCGTTTTCTAACAATTGATTTGAAATGGTTTGTAAAAACAAAACCATCTAGCCAAATGCTAACAACAACTTCTGCTAAGGAGCTAACTTCAAGACAGAAATAGTAGACCAGGAGCCATCACACACCTGTGACCAATCCTGCTTCAGACAGAGGTTAGGACCTCCCACCTCATTAGCATACAGACACACAGATATAGAAATGCAGAAATGTAGGCGAACAGAAATGTAGAAATAAATATAAACCATTGACACAAAGGTGGGGAACCCAAAAACTTTTAAGGCAAGCTAACATAATCTGTTTCCCCAGGTCATGGCTTTACATCAATGCATTACGTAGTAAAAAAGTTGCTTCCCAATGGCATTTAATGAAACTCACAGGGACAGACTTTGTCTGTATATTCTGAGCTTCTATTGTTCTATTCTGTGTCTTTTCCAGAGACAACAGTCAACCGCTGGTCTACATCATCTTAGCTGTATGGACTTGGAGCATGCTGCAGTTCCCCCTGCATCTGGCCGGTCAGTGTGTGTTTATCTTAATAAAGTTGGTGCTTACCTCTCTTCCAAGCGTGGGACAATCCAAACATTGTTTTCATTCACCAGCGTCCAGGCTAGTGCTCTAGGGAGAGCAAAGCAATTTGGGAACGCTTACCACAAAACAGGAAGGGTGTGTTAAATAAGGTGTATTTATATCTTTAGTCTTATGGGGGATATTCACTCTGACAAAGTTTGGGGATCTGCACTTGAGATAAGAGGAGTAAGTCGTAATTAGGCAAGGCCCGACTTGGTAAGGATGTAAATCCACCTTCTTAAATCTGAACAGAGGATAGTGTTTTGTGAAAGACAAAGAAAGAAAATTAAAAGAGGCGTTACTTTGTTCTCGGAAATGAAAACCTCTGCAATGTTCTCAATTATTTATAATCCAACATTGGAACATTTACAAATGGATGTTTGAGAGTCTTTGTGGTAATACTTTCAGGTGAAGCTTTACCGTCATAAAGCATTTAGAGCACTCAGAGCTTGAAAGTGTTCCATTGTGTTCTTAACTCAAGCTGCGTTGCGTGTCCCGTCATGTCCAGTGTGTTCAGGGGCCGGTAACCACAAAGTGTTGACAGACTGATACAACGTGATTGCCAAGAATGCAACAAGTACATTGTCGTAAAGATTCTTTAAGGAAATATACTGAAGGAAAGGGAAGAGTATTGTGTAGAAACATATTGAGAAGAAGCGATAGAAAAAATCAATAAAGAAAAAACTAAACGATCTCCACAAAACACATTGAGTAACGGATGAGAAACACACTGACTCAAAGTGATGACAAAAGTAGAAATATATAGGTCACATTAATGTGAGTGAATGTTGTTACTTTGAGCGGTGCTTGTACCTCCTTTTCTAAGACAAATTTAGAATTGCGAAATAGCTGTTGAGAAAAGTTTTATTCCAGATTACAACAACAGCAGATTGTTACTTTGAATATGAAGTCCTGTTTGTCTTTTGTCTCCCCCATTTTTTTAAAAGTGGTGAACTCCGAGCCAGACACTGGCGGCGAGGAGGGGCCCCGCGAGGTGTCCCTCTTGGCTAAGCACAGCACGGACATGTGGAGCATCGTGGGGGCCTTGTTCATCCAAGACGGGCCTTTCCTGGTGGTCCGGCTCACCGTCATGACCTACTTTGGCATCTTCCACCAGATGCTGGTGTTCTTCACCATTAAGAACTTTCTGGTGGTCACGCTGAACTTGTACAGGCTGATTGTTTTGTGCATGGACTGGCGCAACAGAGCCAGAAGGGGCAGCGCCATCCCGAGTATTTGAACGATGTTCTTATTGGGGAATCATGGCGACGCAGTGCACAATTGTACATTCACATGTATTTTCTTACATCTGCAAGGTGATATGTTACCGACTTTACAGCCACTTGAAGGCTCAGCATCTAAACCTGCAGTCCCTCCAAAGCTTCCCACATTAATCGCATAGATTTTTGCGTTTATGTTGACAGCCATAGTAAATACCTCAAATTGTACTTGTAATGTCTTTTGACGTTGTCATGGAAACGTGATATGTTGCAGCAAAGCGCTGTCCCATTGGTATTTATACAATTTAGAAAATCCTTACACTCAACAATTTGGTGCTGTCAGGACATGAAGTGTTCAAGGAGAAAGAGACATTTCCTTGGTTCAACCCAGTCAGGAAGTTACATATGATTGTGAAAACATCAAATGTCTGTTTAATATCCTCCCCTTATCACCACTGGATGAGAAAGGCCATTCCTTCTGTTATTCTTTGACATTTGAATGGGGTATTATTGTTCCAAAATAAGGTGTGTGGTGCTGTTCCTCTTGGAGAATTGCCTTTTAAAACAAAGGAAGGACATGGTATTCGCTAATCAACGATTCAATTTAATATCTCAAAGTTCTTTACTGTTACTGTTGGCCTGTTTTAACTGAGGGTTGTATCTCTGTGACGTACAAGAAACTGCAGTTTGTGTCATTATGCACATTACAGTCATTGTTCTAGGTTAATGTTCTCGTCCTTATTTGGCCCAAATAAAGCAATCCATACCAGTATCGGTTTTCTTATGTTTATTTCACATTCATTTGCAAGTAGAACTTTCTCAGATTTATGTGACGGAAAACATATTTGGGACTTTATGGTAAAAAGACAACTGAACAATTGAACTCCATAAGTAATCCTGTGATCCCCTGATGTACTGCATCATCTCCCCCGCTTTCTCGTTCCTCTTCTACCGCTGCTCTGTCACCCCGCCCGCTCCACATCTACCTCTTTAAATCCCCAACCAACACAACAATTGATTGCATCACGTGATGCAATCACGTGGGGAAATCCAATTAGGTATGCGGATAGCGTGCAGACGAACACCAACAGCAATCGGATTTTGAGTTTACTCACTTTGGACCCCCGATTCGAGGGAGTGCGGATACAGTGCGTTCGTCTGCACGATAGCGCTATCCGGAGACGGGGTTCCGGGTACCGGGTTTAGGCAAACTAGAGTCCGTCTGCACGGGGTCTGAATGTAGCTGAAACTGGGCGGAATACCGCTTCAAGCGGTATAATGGTATAACATTTTGGTCATAGCGCCCACTCATGGCCTCTACATCAATTTCCTGATTTAAAGCTCGTAGAAACCTTTTAAAGAAGCCAATCAAAAAGAGCTGGAGACCAAATATAAAGTAAGCGCTTAAACCACAATCGCAAATCAATACCTGTTGCCAGGTCTAGAATGTTTGAAATAGTCTTTGAGATACTGCTGCAACTGTGGTTACTCTTCAGCAAGCAACAGGATATCATTTTACACTCCATTGGTCGGAGCTGCTTGTCATGGTTCTAACTTCATAACATCAATGAATAACCAACATTAAACGCTCTTTAACGGGGTAAAAAAACACAAACAATTTGTAAAACTATTAATTGTACATTCATAAAATTACCCCGCCGAACTGCATGCTGGGTACAGCTCGCCTGCTATCACAAGAAGATGAAACTATGTCAATACATGAAAACACAAGAAAAGGCGATGCCGGAGGACCAATGGGAGACCAAAGATGCACCAACGGTTTGGAGGGTTTTTGGTTTAGAAATAAGCCACGTACGGTAACTGTGGTAAACAGTGACTTAGATTAAAAAAAAAGATTCTTTGCAAAGTTTTGTTGAGCATCTGGTATTGCCTCTGGTGGCAACACTAGCAGCCACAACAGCTAACATGCTAACAAGCTAACTCGCCGGGCAGTTGCGAGCCTTGGCCAGAGAGCGGTGAACAACGAGCGGGGAACAGTTGGCCAGCTCCTTTTCGGCCTCAATGAATGTGTTTTACTCAGAATAAAATACCTCAATATACCGAGATACCTCAGAATCTTACAAATACCGTGATATGGATTTCTGGCCATACCGCCAAGCCCTATTTTGACCTATTCTTTTGAAAAAGAACTGTGGGGGGGGTATCGGGTGACTGTTTGTGTGTATAAATGTGGTAATGATATTTTCCTCAGAGGTCACACCAAAGACGCATGAAATTACTGACACACACACACACACACACACACACTCTGGAAGCGTGTTGAACAATAAGTGTGAACACTTGTGTTCTCTCCTCATCCTCAGCTTCTATTGGTGTTTGTAAAAGGCTGTCATTGCAGGAATGTCCTCAACCCGCTGAATTTTTAAGTCCATCTCCACTCCGTTCCGCTGCAACGGTCGCCTGCCTCTGTACCACAGCCGGCGCTTTCAGGGGCGGAGCCGCACACCTGCCGCCAATATCGGGACGCACCTGTTGGCCATTGTGCGATAAACCATAAGGACAGCAACAAATAAAACCTCATCACCAATACGACATCAACCACTGCAACACACAGATAATCAAAACAAATGATAGAAATGAATAAGAAAAATGAAAGTAAAAGCATGCAGATACAAATATTGAAAAATTACTGTATAGTTAAAACAAGGTTGTGTCTAACGGTTACACTCCCACCAGCGGAGACAGAGCGCACGTTCCTTCAGTGTTGTTCGTCATTAAACCACAATCCAGCTGCAGACACAGCGACCTCATTTCCTTAAGCGAATGACAGGAGTTTGTTTGATTCTTTTTGTTGGGTTTTTATTTTACGCAGCAAAGGGTTAACTAAATATACAAATAATACATTCTGTCACACTCTCGTGCCTAATACGGCCTTTCTGTGTTGCACCTGCTGCAATCAACTGCGGTCAACTCAACAGGCACTCGGATTTCCGTGGTCAACTCAGCAGGTACTTTTTAGTGTTTCTATTGTCCTACTGAGGTGACCACAGCAATCATCACGTCAATAAATCGAGACAAACAAGGAGCGTCAATCCAACATAAGTGCTTTTCAATGTATGTTATGGATCTTTGGTTCCTGCACAAGGAGCATAAGGATCTCAAATCAAACCCCCTCCAATGAATTAATATATATGCTTCCGCTTCTCACAGAGGGGAAACACTGTAAGTATACTGTAAACTGTTAACAGTTAATATATTGTTCATAGATGATGATGTAGTTTTAAACCAAGTGTTTTGTTTGTATTTATATTAGCAGTATACTTTAAACAGTTAATGCATGTTCAATTTAAAGAAAACATTTATTTCGGTAAGTATTTAATGAACAGCAGAGGCAGTGCCCTCTATGTTATTTATTCTGATGAATGAACAGACGACGTGAAGCTGCCCTCTCCTCATTCTCATATTTAATTGTCGTACCAATGTCATTCATAACTCATGGAATCATTTAGAAGGATCTCTGTGGGCCCTCGCTTCAAGAAGGCTCTCTGTCGTCTCCTGTCAGATAAAACTGCAATGGTCTTTCTTTTCTGGGCGTGACTTAAACTTTGTTCAAAAAAACTACATCCAACCCACTACATCCAACCACATCCCCCATCCTCTCTATTAAAGCAGCAGCAGCAGCAACCGCCGGCTTTCTGGGATCTTCATTTTTCCAGGGATCACTTACCTCAAACCGTCAGCATGTTGTGCATATTCAAGTTTATTAGTGCGATCACAACTCGCCTGCTGTTCATCTTCGTCTCTCTGTTGGGCATCTTCAGAGTGACAATCGTGAAGTGGGACGACTTCTACTTGCTCCTTACTCTTCTCTTTCTGCCGCTTCTCGTTGAAATGATAATAACGCTGAAGTGCCGCAAGGGACAAGATTATAAATGGTACGACGAGGTGCATGCTGTTAAGTGTTTTTTTTTATGATATTGATTTTATGCTAACGGTGCAAACTTGGAACGTGTTGTAGGAATATCTAGACATAGCATGCATATGTTTGGGCTTATGTGATGTTCCCCGTTATCATCCCTTATACTCTGCATCCTGCTTGTCCTCCTGCTACTAATGTTTCACTGGTCCTGGTTGGGACAGTGAGGATGTGGTGGCCCCCCTTGACATCCCTTATCAGCCTTCTTCCAGTGTTCAGACATGTTCAAAACATGGGTTTTGTTGTCTGATTAACTGTCAAGCTTTTCTAGTAACAGAGATTACTGTGGAAGTAACTTGATATATAGTAAAGTTACAATAGAATACCAATTGTAGGGCTGCAGCTAATGATTGTTGTGTTATTAATTCATTGGATTATGCACTATATGTGAAAATAGAAAAGCCTATGAGGACATCTTCCAAGTCAACAGTCTGCAACCTCCAAATATTGTATTTCACTTTATATAAGACAGACAAAAGCAGAACATCTTCATATTTTTTTGCTTGGAAAATGGTTAAATAGTTAGTCCGTTGTCTTATTGACCCGTTGCTTCAGCCCAATTCAGTACCAGGCATTAAGATTTTAGAAATTCCTGGTGTGTGACTTATTTATACATTTGATTTGCATTAGTTTTCCTGTGCGTCTTTATGAATTTGTGTTAATAAGGACCTCGGGGTTGTCCTGCAGGTTTTCTCCTGCTATCTTTCTATTTCTCATCAGTGTTATTCCCTCCATTTGGATCCTGGAGCTCGACCGCCAGGAGCACAGAGACAGCATCCCCCAGGTACTCCACGGCAGACACGGAAAACAGTTCTGTTTCCTAAACATGTAATCTAATGCCAGTTTTCGGTTGGCGTAACTACACTTTTAAACATTTTCTACAGGGAAATGTCAATGGTTTTCAGTGCAAAAAGCTTGGCACGTGGCAGTATCAGTTGCCAAAGATCCCTTACAACGAGACCGTGGGAAACCTCACATCCCAACAAAAGGTAAGTTGTATAGACCCGTATGTACAGTGAAACTAACCAAGAGCTCCTACATAATGCAACTTTTGCCTCAACCTGGAAAGCTGTCCAATCTTCTTAAGAATGCTGTTTGTTGTTCTAATTAACTATCCCTTTGTTATAGTCACTTGATTTCAGTTTTTTCGCAATGTATTTACGTTTTCCTGTTTAGTTTTAAGCATATGTAAAGAGCCTATAACCTGAGTGAAGTTGGTACAATGACTATTGCTTTTAGGTCATGCATTTTGCCTGCAGACTTCTGTAAATACAAATGTTTACTTTTTTTTCTTTCCTTACTGTATCTTCATGTTTTACTGCAAATCCCCTTTTTAGTGACCATAATCCTGTGTTTGTGTGATCTGAGTCCTCAACGTGATGACAAGCAGCACAGAGGTACTACGGGTTCCTTGATGCTCGAGTTACACTCGAGTGGGGACTCGGCCGGATTTGCATATTGCCAGTTTGAATGAAATGCAAAAGAGATAAAAGCCTGATTCAGTCCCACAGTCAAACCATTCAGAAATACTCCACTAGTGGGAGAAAAAAGCGATCTCCATATAAATACAGGCCAGGATTCTCTTTTGCTTGGATTTGCAAACTAGCTTTTTCAATACACTAATGTTTTAAAACTAAAAGATCAAGTGAACATCAGACATATTTGGATTACGATTTAAGAGAAGGATTTTAGTTCTCTTGTGATTTAACAATAAGCCAGCATTTAATATTAAACAGATTAGTTAGTGATTAAAACGACAGTGCAGAGGCTTCCTGCCAATAATAACAAACTGCCTGAAAATCTTCCATGGTCAGTAACCGTAAGAGGGGAGCAGTTAAAATGGCTTCAATAAATAACCGCAAGACCACCACCCTTTAGCCTGGAGGATCGGAAAGCGTTGGGACGCCTCAAAAAGCCTTCAGTCAATACCTCAGCTCCTTATTGTGTTTCCAATCCCTCATCGTGCAACGCAATGGAGTCAATAAAGGGAAATTCTGAGGTGACATTTTATGTTTTAAGCATTTAAACTATTATGGTTCTGAAGAGGACATAACTCCATCTCTCCTCTCCTGTTGTACCAGGTGTCAATTACCCGCTGTCCCTACGACTGGATCCTGGCTCTTCATCAGAGTGTGCTCATCCTCGTCATCGTGGGGAAGTGGCTCCTCCCGAAGGGGGGCGGAGTCACGCGTGATGAACTCTCGCAGCTTCTCATCATGTTTGTTGGCACTGCAGCAGATATCCTCGAGTTCACCAGTGAGACGCTGTCAGATGTCAAGTGAGTCGCTAATCATGCTTTGCACACGAGTCTGTCGTGTTTAAACCATCAACACAAAGCTGGGGAACCCAAACACTTTTAAGCCACTTTTAACATAATATGTGTCCCCAAATCATGGCATTACATCAATGCATTAAGTAGAGAAAAAGTAGCTTCCCAATGCCATTTAATGAAACTCACAGGGACAGACTTTGTATATTCTGAGCTTCTATTGTTCTATTCTGTGTCTTTTCCAGAGACGACTCTCAACAGCTGGTCTACATCATCTTAGCTGTATGGACTTGGAGCATGCTGCAGTTCCCCCTGCATCTGGCCGGTCAGTGTGTGTTTGTATCTTAATAACGTTGGTGCTTACTAAGCAGCGACAGCATGGACCGCTGTGCCGCTTTTATCAGGCACGGGCGGTTTCTGTACATACCACGGAATACACAATTAGACGCACTTTACGCATCCACTCCCATCTCTTTGTGGGAAACTCCCACAACCCTCCCGTGAATGCACATGCATGACACTGGCACAATTTACCCTCTTCAGTTTCCGCGACATTCAGTCTGCGCTTCTACCTCAGTGCGGCTTGTTTGTACATACCTCTCCATGTGCACATTGTGTGTGGCCTCAAAACCATTACATGTACAGTACGTGAGGTACAAAGTGTTGACAGACCGATGCGTGTTCGCCGGGAACGCAACGAGTACATTGTGCTAAAGTTTCTTCAAGGAAAGGGAAAAGTATTGTGTACAAACATATTGAGACTCTGAAGTCCTGTTTATTTCTCTGTCTCCCTGTTTTTTTTAAAAGGGGGGAACTCCATCCAGCCAGACACTGATGACAAGGAGGCGCCCAGCGAGGTGTCCCTCTTGGCTAAGCACAGCACGGACATCTTGAGCATCCTGGTGGCCTTGTTCATCCAAGACGTGCCTTTCCTGGTGGTCAGGCTCTTCTTCATGATCTACTTCGACGTCTTCCACCAGATGATATTGTTCTTCGCCATCAAGAACTCTCTGGTGGTCACGCTGAACTTGTACAGACTGGTTGTTATATGCCTGGACTCGCGCAGTAGAGCCGGCCGGGGCAGCGCCGTCCCGAGTGTTTGACGATCTCCCCACGGGGGAATCACGGCGACGGAGTGCACAACTGTACATTTACATCCGACTGGCGCAATTGGAGCAGGAGGAGAAGGAAATGCTTGCTTTCGGTTTTCACCTCACTAGGAACGTAACGGTGGGATCGAGGTGTTATTATGTAATAATTAACATCGTTTTGAGTAGGAAATTGTGAACAACCTTTTTGTTACATCTGCAAGGTGATATGTTACCGACTGCTCAGCATCTAAACCTACAGTCCCTCCGAAGCTTCCCTCGGTCAACTCAGTTAAAACACAGCCGTCTCTTCAGTGCTTAAATGTGAGTACGTGTGCATGAGCATGCTGGTCTAAGACCTGGTTTTAGTTGTGTATAAAACGCCTTATTGTTCAACAGAGCAAAACAGGAGAATGTGAAGTTGTGTCCGATGTATTTAAGATATCACCCAATAGCACAAATCATAAACTTACCTCAAGGAGCTTTACAAGCTTACAACAACATACAAAACCTCTATCCTTGTTAACCCCATTTTCAACAGCTGTGGGGATCCAAGGCAATAAAATATCAGATGTGCACATTTCTTAGCCTTATCAACACAATAACACCAACAGATGTTAAAGCACCACCTGTGCCAGCACCTACAGTAAGTGAAGCCATGCTGCTGTTTCAGTAAGGACAGATTTTGGACAGTGAGGTGTACCGCGTTGCGTTGAGCACAGTGGATAAAGGCATAGGCCCGATCTCAATTAAGGGTTGTTCCACTGTCAAATTGTTGAGTATTTGTGGGATTTTATGTTACTTTCTACAGACTTTACTTGAGGGAATTACACACATTTCTTAGCATTTCATTTGTCATTGAAGCTGTTTTGACAAATGCAAGTAAATCGCTTATTTGAAATGATCTCTCGTCTTGTGAGGAAAGATTCTGGAAGACAATTCCTCAAGTCCGGGAGTAAAGAGTAAACACCTCAAATTGTACTTGTCTTTTGACGTTGTGATGGAAACGTGATATGTTGCAGCAAAGCGGTGTCCCATTTGTATTTACACCATTTAGAAAATCCTTACACTCAACAATTTGGCAGGTGCTGTCAAGAAACTGCAGTTTGTATTGTTATGCATGTTATAGTCATTGTTCTAGGTTGATGTGCTTGTCCTTATTATAAAAAAGCAATCCATACCAGTATCCGCTTTCTTACGTTTATTTCACATTATTTCAAAAATATGCTCTTGGAGTATTACATTTACAGTAGTGCTCATCACTACTAGGATTAGGTATTATGTGGCACATCTTGTCATTTTTCCTAGTTGAATTTATTTATTCAACCAGAAATAAATACTAAATATTTAACCTCCTCTCTCAAAGAATAAATGATGTGAGCAGGTTTTCAGTGTTTCAGAGTTCAGCACACTGTAGTGACTCTCAATACCAAGATGTGAATCCATTCTTCTCATTGTATTGCCCAATGAAACATTTTTATGTATCAAAAGATGTTATAGAACTTAGTCAAAAGCTGTATGCTCGGTTTCGCTTCGGAAGAGCTGATATTCAGTAAATTGTGGACCTTCTCAGGCCCAACCTCCAACGCAGAACCCAAAGGAGTCACGGTCTGTCTGTGGAGGAACAGGTCCTCATTGCTCTGCGCTTCTATGCGTGTGGGACTTTCTACCAAGTTCTAGGTGACTACATGGGTGTGGAAAAATCAACTGTTTGTGATGTTCTGAAAAGTGTGTCAGCTGCATCGGCCAGCCTGATTAATGAATTTGTTTCATTTCCGAAGGATGACCAGATCATCCAGGCCAAGCAGGAGCTTTTTCTTTTGGGGAATATGCCCAATACTATTGGAGAAATCGACTGCGCCCATGTGCACATACAAGCACGTCATGAGAATGAGTGGGGGTTTGTAAACCGAAAGGGGAGACACAGCATCAACGTTCAACTTGTTTTGCAACAAGTCTCTGCATGCCTTAATTACTTGAGAGTGGAACCACAGAAAGCATGCAACATAATACTTGCTTGCATTGTGTTACACAGCATCGCGACCAAGTGCAAAGTCCCTCTCTGTGATGACGTCCCTGATGCACCTGAGCCCATTGGAGACACTGACCACACTGTAAACCCGAATTAGTTGACTTTACACGCGAATCGCGTGGAAACCCGTTGCCCTATCCCACTTTAGTTTTTGCACAAGCTGAAACTAGAAATGTTGCGTTGTATTAAAGTGGAACTGTAAGTTTTTACACAACCTGAAACTAAACATGTTGCAATGTATTAACGTGGAACTGTAAGTTTTTACACAACCTGAAACTAAACATGTTGCAATGTATTAACGTGGAATTTTAATTTTTCACACAACCTGAAACTAGAAATGTTGCGTTGTATTAACGTGGAACTGTAAGTTTTTACACAAGCTGAAACTAAACATGTTGCGTTGTATTAACGTGGAACCTTAACTTTAGTATTTATATTTATTAGTAGCGTGTACTCAAAATCATTAGATAAAACTAGCTATTATGACTTGTTATTGCTACTCATCATTTAACACAATTATTGTATTTTCCTCTAATTTAATTTGCTTTTGATTGGTTTTTAAATATGTTATTAAACATTGTTTCAATTAAATTGGATAAAAAAACAGAAACACCTGTAAATGCTCCAATGCATTTTACTTTTAAGAAAAATGGCCAAACACAGCTAATCACAAAAAGGATCTGTTTCATCTGCCTCAATGAAGGGAGGCCAGAGCCTGAACCAACAGACTATCATATCAGAACAATATCTAATTCCATCTACATAGACTGATGAAGAACTGAAACATGTACATAATATAACAATGTCCTATGTCTTTCCGCTACAACTCCGCTCAGTTTAAATTGTCACACAAGTCACATCCTTTAGCACGCTTCCCACAAAATATGTGTATAGGTGTGTCAGTTTTGTTTGTGGGTGTTGTATGTGTCTGTGTGTGTGTCTGCGTTTTATGCGTCTGTTTGTCCACCTGTTTTACAGAAAATAAGAAGGTTTACCCCACAGGTAAGAAAAAAAAAATAGTCAACAGTTTCTTAAAGTAGACTTGACATCTCTTTACATTGCGAGCTGATTTTTCAAAGTCTGTAGCTTTGGCTTTAGGTCAGTGTGGCCTAACAAGAGCAATACCTGTTGGATGAACTGAAATGTGAGCTTCATAGTCTTGGGGTAGTTAAGATGGAGTGCATACATGAGTCCAAACAGAATGCACATTGCTTTTGGCAGATCTTGAATGTTGTCCATCACGACTTCTCCCTCAATGATGATTTCCAACGAGGCTGGACTGAGATGCTGGGAAGATGTGAGCACTTTTTTGAGTAGCTAGCTAGCTAGTTTTAGCAATAAGCATGTATTAACACCATGCACTGGTTCAAACAATAACATTAGACGGAAATAAAAGCTGCGTCAAATTATCTGCAAGCTTTTGGGTATTAAACATTCCCACAAAGATAACTAGGCTACAATAGTTATTTTACATACTAACCATTCCACTTCGAGGTGGTAAGGTTGCTTTCTTGGATTCCATCTGCTGCCGATGCCTGTGCTCGTCCCGCCAGGTGAAGAGCCCCTTGGACGCACTTGGACGTTGGTCTGGTCACATGACCAGGCAGCTTTTTGAATTAGCCCCTCCCCTTTCTTCCAAAAGTAAACATACCGAGTTATCTGTGCTAAAAATGATTAGTGCAATGAATTTTTCAGCTAATTAGTACAAACAACTAATGTTGTTTAGTAATGATAGCAGGATTTTACTAAACATAAAAGAATAAGTAATGATCACTCGTAAGTTTAATTAGAAACAAAATCCGGGTTTACAGTGCAACCTCCGGCATTCTGTCAGAACGAGGGCCCGACTGGACGACCAATAACAGATGCAATTGTTAGACACTATTTTTGATTTTGAAGTCCATGACTGATGATTGTGACAGTGTGATTAATGTTTAATGGACAAAGACAGAATTTAGTATTTGAGTTCAATATTGACAGCTGATATTATCATTATTATTATTTTATGGGGCCGAAATATTTATAATTTGCTGTACTGAAAGGTTGCTGGCCTACAAAGCCTTTCTACTTTATGTACTTCCTGTTGAAGTACAAGTGAAATTGATGAATAAATATAAATACTGTAAAATGCATGATATAAATGTTGTATTATTTAACTAACCAATTTTAGTTACCCAGTTTTATTACTGATATCCACCATGAATCCACCGTCCTGTCAGTTTATCAGTTTAATGCAGATTTTTGGGATCGAAATGATCCCAATCCTACCAAAAAGTTTAGAAAAACCCAAACTCAAGGTTTGATCTGGATCAACAACATTAGATTACGTGATCCAATTTCTGAATACTTTTCTTTTGAAATACCCATTTTCAAGATTTGATCCAATCCGATAGCCGTGATCCAATCAGATTACTTTTGAAAAACCGCCCCCTGGTGATGAAACCAGAAGTAAAGAGGAGACAAAGAAAAAGAAAAGACTGTTCGACAAAAAGTGGAGGTCCAGTTGAGAACGACTGGTTTATGATCCAGCCAAGAAAATAATGTATTACAGTACAGATTTCCGTCGGCCGTGTCAAAAGCAGTGTGGATAAACGGACGAAGACAACAAAGTCTTGCGTTTAGGTCCGTGGTCCTCATGAAGTCGGCAGAGCTTCAAAACCCTGCAGCAGTTATATGCAATGAGCTAATCTTCATCTGTCTTTGTCTTTATCAGCTGCATATGTTTTCATACAAAAGGAGCTTTGCACACTTATAAGAGCTGAAGATGTGGCGACTACATATCCATTTTATGTAGTCTTGATTTTGGGTGTTTACAATTTGAAAGGATTGTGTTAGGGGGTGTAGTTGGTGGACCCAAATGCACACGCACAGCAGTTCTATTTGTAGCCAAATGATTTTATTTCCCATACAACCTGGGAAGCGAACAAACAAACAAAAAGGGGAATAGAAAGCGCTCCTCGGGAGGGAAACTCCACCGACGTCTTGCAGTCCGGGGCGGATCAAGCAGGGTCTGGTGTGGAAACCCGAGGCCCGACACCATAACCAGAGTCCGATTAAAACGAGTCACGTGTACTCCGTGGGTCTGATACTGCAGGACAAAAAACAAAAACATGCAAACTGGTTCGCTACTTCTGACGGCGACATTCAACGGCACCGGGGAACCAGCCTGGGTACTGGGACGGACCGACGACGACCTTTATGCCCGTCACTGGTGATCCCCGGAATGAGCCACAGCTGAGCTATTGAGAGATGGACGGGACCGGGGGCGGAACACAGGGTTGGAAACTCTAGGCTGACAAAAAAACAACAAAAGCACAGACGGGGAGAAAAACTGATGAGCGAATAGGGACCCGATTGTAAATCTAGTTCAAGTAAATTGTAGCAAACCGTAGTCAACTGTAATAAAATGTAACTTAATTTCCCAACAACAAAAGTGTGGCTTGTGAAATTGCTGAGTGGGCAGTAAAAAGGTTAATGTCAAGCCCTGGACTGGCTATGGTAAAAAGACAACGGGACAATTGTCCTCCGCAAGCTCCCTGTTAGGGTGCGCTGGCCCGACACCTCGTGGTCCACTGATGTACCGCATCTTCTCCCCCGCTTTCTCCTTCCTCTTGTCCCGCTTCTCTCTCAGCTCCACGGCTTCTTCTAATCCCCCATCCGAGACAAAAACAACAACAACAACAACAACAACGAAAAAACAAATGTACCATTCTTCCAACCAATTGTTGACTGTGGTCAGAAAACAGGAAAAACAGGCGCCTCCACGGTTGGAGTTGTGTGTGTGTAATACGACACCGTGAACGGGGCCGGGCCTCATTCGGCTCCCCGAACAGGTTGCATGACACACTCGGGTGGGGCTTCTTTTCCTTTTTTCGATTCCGGTCTCCGCACCACACCTCTTTCCACAGACGCCCTGCATCGCGCCCAAGACGCACGGTGCCACTATATAACCGGAGCGAGCTCACCGCGCGCGCAACCCCTCCCGGCCCCGTCCTACCGCGCTCCTAACCCGCCGCCGCGCACCCACGATCGTCGGTCATGTTTCGCTGCGGAATCGCGTACCCTCGCTGCAGGTGGATCGTGCCCCTGCTGCTGCTCTTCGCCATTATTTTCGACATTATCGCCATCGCCGCCACGTCGGGATGGGTCGAGGACGAGGAGGGCACGTCCCACTACAGCAGCATGTGGGAAGAGTGCCGGGGCAGGAACGACAGCTGGGACTGCAGGTCGCTCATGGAGTTCCGTAAGTGTCCCGCCGTCTGTGCTGCGTTACGCACGATCCGGTTCCTCCCGAGCAACGAATGGGATCGAAAGGGGGGGATCAGGCCGTGACATGATGTGGTTGTGTGTGTGTGTGTGTGTGTGTGTGTGTGTGTGTGTGTTGTGTACGTGTGTGTGTGTCGCTGGGGTGCTGCATTCAACGTTTACTCCTTGTAACTTGTAGGACCTCTGGGTGCCACCAGGCCTCCATGAGGCCTCTTAACAAGTCAGTCTGAACTTTGGTCTTAACTGCGATCCACTGGGCTGTTTTTTTATCTCTAGCAGGCGTTTTGTTTGACATATCTCTTTTTTAAAGTGTATTAATGTGTCCCAAGGTCTCTACATCGATTGATCCCAGATTGAAAACTCCAGGGAACCTTTTTTTTTAAAGAAGCCCATAAGAAGGAGGTTCACTGTCCTCATGCGGTGGAGTGAGCCTTCAGTAGGGAAGCTGGAGGACCGTTTCATGAAACCGTGGCAGCACATTCCCAACCAGAACCAACAGAATCCAGGAAGTCTTTCTGCCGCCGCCTCCGTGCTTTAATTTATGAAACCATTGTTTCTAAAAAGCGATAAAGTAGAGCTCTTCTCCTGCTACTAACTCGCAGACACCAAAAGCACACGATCACGGTCCTATTTGTACTACAACAGCTACTTCTAATAGTACCACTGAGAATACTACATTGTTAGGGAGTCATGTCAAGAGCACAAGTGGGAATAACTTTATTTTAAAGAAACAGTAGTCTGTTTTGTTTGGCTGGGGACCAAACACAAACACAAACCAAGCTTTGAAAACCACAAACGCACAACAATCGGCCTTCGGCAGATTCAGACTATCTGAAATAGTCTTTGACCTGTTCTCTTGAAGGAGCCGGGGGGGAGGAGAAGAATTCCAGAGGTTTGTTTAGTCAGACGTGTTAACACAAATGTGGATATTTATAGACAAAGTGTTAATGACATTTTGCTCAGCGGTCACACAAAAGACGCATGAAATTACTGCCACACACACACACACACACAGTGCGGAAGTGTGTTGAAGATTAACTGTGAACCGAGCACACACAGTGTGTTCTCTCCTCCTCCTCGGGTTGTGTTTGTGTTATTCCACCCACACACTGAACCACAACAAGACCTCGCTGTTGCTCCTATCGGACCCCGTGGGTTAGAAAACCTCCACCGGGCCCATCGATTATTATTTCCGCGCTTCTTCATTCCTTCTCTGGTCTCGCTTGGCGTCTCCGCTCGGGTGTCTTTAGTTGTCACTAAAAAGTGGTTAAACAACGTCTGCCGTTACGTTTTGAACGCTGAGGAGACCGACATGGCCGCGCGCTCGACGTGATTGGCAGCATTCGTCCAAACACGCTCCACGTATTTTGGCAGGAGATTGATCTTTCCTGTCAACTACAGGAGAAAATGTGTTTGCGTGAGCCTGCAATGGAAAAAATACATTCAGTATATAATTACTTTAATGAGGGGGACGGCGCTGTGACTGTTTATACCGACCAACCAACACACAAAAGCAATGCATGTTCTAAAGCTTTACCGGAACGTTCTATCTTTATAGGGGGTTTAATTAAATGCAATCAAACACATCGGTTAGTTGACAACAGGCATCCCAGTCTGTATGTTTGAGCCGTTTACAGCCTCTCAATTCGATTTCCACACAATCTAACATGTTTTTTATCATTTCTTTGGAATAGTTTTGGTTAGAGAATGTAAGGAAAGAAACGCTCTCTGTATTTCATTCTAAAGATGAATGAATGAATGCTGTTCTTGATAAGACATGGATGGAATGCCATGTGTGAGCAGTTCAATTTAGGAAAATATCTTCTCTCGACCACAGTTCCTACATGAAACTGCTCGCGACAAAGTCTCCGAAGAGCGTGTCGATGGACAATCTGACAGATCGAGAGGGGTTTCTGCCCGTGGCTTTGCTGGAGTTTACTCCGGTCCGATGACACGCGTATTGTATTTTGCAGATTCCTAACGCGCAGAATCACAAGGAAAATTTGGAATCGCACGACCGCTCTCGGCAGCTTCTACTTACTTACTTTACTACATCGAGGAGACGTGCAACCAGTCAAACCCGTCTGCCCCGTGTGTCTTCGTGCACCGTGAGAGAAAGGCCTCATGCCGAGGCAGGTCGGGAGTGACCCGGCCTCATGCAGCTGTGAATAATTCAGGGTGTTGGCCGATCCAGTAACAGCGCGTTGGGTGTAACTGGATGTTGAGGGAACGCACGCAGCGGGCTCGGGATGTGATTTTGTTGCATAAAAAAAAAACCACAATGTCTGGATTACATATTAAACTGTTGAGCTATTTGTGACGTCATACTTGTTGCATACTGTATTTCAACTCGTAAAACCTGTGGAGACACGTTCCTCTGTTCCGTTTACCGACGTGTAACTGACTAGTTCACGTGTTTTGTGTTGCTGCCTCAGCTTGGGCCCAGGCCGTGGCCGCTCTGATGATCATCGGCCTCCTCATCCTCATCGTCGCCTTCATCATCTCCTGTGTGGGGCTGTGCTGCTCGCTCAACTTGACTCTCATGCCCCTCATCGGAGTTCTGTGCATCATCGTCGGTAAGAGCCTCACCCACGCACGCAAACATTACACGTTTCCCGCGAGCGTGACCGCTTAAGCGTCTCCTTCCATTTCTTTTTCGGGGGAAATTCATGAGCGCGTCTCTGTCGAGCGATCTGAAACGGTGCTTTTGAGTGATTCTTTGTGGAGAAACTCAGTTTCACAGATCTTGTGATTTGAATCCACGAAACGTTTCATCTACAAAATCCTATACGTTTTAGTTCACTTGGAGCTTCTTTGGTCGAGAAAAGCCGCCCTTACTACACAAAGATCAACGCTTACAGAAGATGGAGTGAAATTGATGACCAGCGAGGGGCCTCCGGTCCCACTGGAGCTGATATCCACGTGTTGATGCCTGCATGTTTATTCATGCATTTGAACAAGCAGCCTCAGGCTAATGGCTGTATTACAGCCTGAAGAATCAGTTGACAAGCATTTTTAAACTTTCTCTACTTAAAATGTAATGCCTGTTACATGTGTAATTGTATCAAAAAACAGAATGAGCTTTGATACCATTCAAGTGTGAAGTAAGAATCGATTGCGATTATTTTTGCTTATAATTTTGTGAATTTCTGAACCCAAACCTTGAAATCAAAATATAAATCCGGGACGGACTGAGGGGGAACCTGAGACTTGAAGGCGAGGCCGAGAGATGAAGATTAAGAGAACGTGTCAGAACAGAGGCGGGAAAGCGGAAGCTTGATGAGTCCGCTTTAAGCTTTCTCTAGAATGAATATGGAGTGAAACCAAACCTCGATCCCAAGGAAAGAGAGCGGAACTCGCTTCCGTGTGAATCTTTGACGTAGAAAAAGGAGAGTAAGACGCAGAGGGAGTGGAGGAAACAAAGTGAGTAAGCCACAGAAGGAGGGAAGGGCCAAGTGTGGGTGTGACCGGGGGAACAGCTGGAACACCTGTTAGTGTGACTGACAGAGCCAGACATAAACACAATGATGCAAACTGCTTTTCAGTGAAACAGTCATAATTCACAGGAGCCGTGACGTCAGTTCTTAATGTACCGCAGCAAGTTCAACCAAGGTTGTCACTTTGCCCCCACAGGCCTCTTAACTCAATCCCTGGAGAAGAAAAGATAGACGAGAGAGTACTTGTATTAGAAATAAACATTATCCCTCAATAGGGACAGCAATTATTGGATCAGGTCAATCATCCAAGATTATTGCACTGCACGTATTGATTTCATCCAATTTCGTCAATTTGTGCTTATTGAGGTGCTATAATACAAAACGGCCCCAAGCTGCTTATCCACCATTCATCCCAATTTAAATGAAGCCACATTTCAAACCACCATTACATTCGCCACATAGAAAAAATCAATATAGTTTAGCATTATATTTATGGAGTGATGGTTTATAAAAGCTGGTGAGTTGCATTTCAATACACAAAAATATATTTTCCAAGAAGTAAAAGAGGGGTATGTCATTTATTTATTTTTTAGTACGATCTCGCGGATGCAAAAAAGCAGATGAAGTTCGTCATTATGCGTCGCATTAAAGTTTCCAATGAACAATGTGTTGAGATAAAAGTAGCACACCAGATTCCCTGCCTGTCCTGTCTCCCCCGCGTTTCTCAAGACTGACCGGTTCGTGCGTTCGAGGCGAGCATCAGCTATTGCTGACTCACTTCAATGTCACCTTGATGTCACTCTTACACGCTCCTGTTAATGCCTTTTCCACGACTTGCTCTCAGCGTCTACTCTAGCGGCTGATTTTTCTCCCTTTCCTTCACTTCGCAGTGGTGCTCCAGATCATCGCCCTCATCATCTACCCCGTCAAATTCAACGAGGAGCTCTTCGAGGGCCACTACTACTACACCTGGGCCTACGGCTTCGGCTGGGGGGCCACCATCCTCTGCATCGGCTGCGCCGTCCTCTTCTGCTGCCTGCCCCGCTACGAGGATGAGCTGAGCGGCCTGGCCAAGACCAAATACCTCTATTCCTCGGCTTAAACGCCACACCTGCAGCCCCCCCCCCATCCCCTCCCCCTTCTACACACTTCTACACATTTCACCTTAGAACCGTGACGGCTCGGTTCGGTTCAGTTTGATTTGGTTCGGCGGTGGAAAGCCCCTTGAGTCCGAAGCAAGGCGGGGCGGGAGCGGGTCGACCACTGGATGTCACAACTGCTTTAATATACAAAGTTCTATTTTAGATTATGTCTTCATCGTAGAAAAAACAACATTCTTTTCCCATTCAGCATTTAAGTGCGACATCTTTTATCTGTACTTTTTTTACAAGTAATTCTCAATGCAATATCACCCAAGTGCACTTAACATAAGGGAATGTATTTTAGTACACTAAGCATAGTCTTTATTTTAGAACTACCTTGGTAGAAACGTTCAGACTAAAACTTGCATAGGATGGAAAAAGGAATATTAATCATAGTTTGATTTTGTCCCGTGTGTTATGATTTATTTTTTAACAGTTCATCAGTGTTCCTTTTATTCTGTTTGTGGCCGTGCTTACGGTAAGAAGTAAGCAGAGGTTCAGAGTTAGAAGCTGGATGTATTCTAATGCTGAGTTTTATATTCTTACTTATTACTGAAGAAGTTTAGCTGTGGGAGTTTGCTTTGCTGTCTTTGTTTCGCTTCTGAGCCCTGCTAATAACTCGGCTGTGGTTGCTCTATCTCCGTCACTCTAAACTGGAACCAAATTCAAATACATTTTCATTAATATGGATAATTAATCTCTCGCGCAAATTTAGAAAACGTGTCAAAATATGATTTTCAATATCTGGATCTGCTTTCCCATTTCTCGTTGCCTCATAAGGGAGAGTGCATTCAAAGACTGAACAGGTTTTCTCGTAGGTTTTGCTGATGGTTTGGTGACTCACTGGAAGTGTTCAATCCCCTGACACGCTGTGCGTGCGTGCATGCGTGTGCGTGCGTGCGTGCATGCGTGTGCGTGCATGCGTGTGTGAGAACCCGGTGCCTTAGCTTCTTTGCTGGTGCATTTTTGAATGTCTCATCAAAACTGACTCATGTTTAATCCCAGTCACAACAGTTACATTTCTTTCTGTGCCAGGACCAAAGCGTCCAAGCCAGACAGAGTTATATAGTTTTAGTTATGTGAGAGATCTTTTGACTTTTGAGTGTAAAAAGAGACGTGATGATTGATCTTGGCGCGATAGTCAAGGTCCATAACCCAACTCATCATCTGACCCTGCATAAACGACAAACCAAATTGAATTAATTTTCACAAAAAAAACACGCTTTTACATACGGGCATACGGGCATGGATCTCTAAACGCCAGCTTTTTTTCTGACATTTGTCATTGAATGGATATATTGTGTACTAAAAAAAAAATGTGTTAACATTCACCCACTTCTGGAAATCACCCAGCTGTTCTTCTGCTGTAGTGTGAATTGATTATTTTTGGTAGTCTGTATTTTTACGCAATAAAAAGTTTCTTTTTTGAAGCGGTTGCAGTTTCTGACTTCTTTCACTCTGCAGTGGTGTTATAATGTTCATATTTGGAAAGATAAAACGAGAGAGAGGAAATGGATAAAGCACATATATTTTTAGAATTCTAAATGTTTTCATTCTTAGCTCTACTTTAGTAGTCAAAGAAGATGATCATATGTCTCAAGAAGCAATGTAAATACCTAGTGTATATAAACATGACGATTAACTTTCTGAAACTGATCCAGATACACGTGTTTCAGTTGCTTGTGGCCTTTGTCAGTCGGGCCGGGAAGAACATTCCGTTGCGACCGGAATGCAAACGACCAATGTTGTAACTCAAACTCTCGTCGTGTTGTCAACACAAACACGGGTTTATAGGAGAACAACGCCCAGATGTGAGTCATGAACCATACGACGCGCACACACACAAACACACACCCAGAGAGACACACCCTGGGGCCGGGCCCGCGTGGGACCTTTGCTCAGCACGTCTTGACAGCTCCAGCTTCTCTGTGAAAGAGCTCGGCGAGAGAAGACGCGCTCGACAGGCGGGGAGGGGAAAATGACATGAGGGTGAGAAAAGAAGTGTGAGGCAGTGGAGCACCGACACTAAGAGAAAGTAGGCAACGGACTGTGAGGATGTTTATAGGTAAAGTTAATGGAGTTCTTTGTTTGATTTAAAGACGGAAAACGGATGCTACACTTTTCTCTCTAGTAAATGTTCAAGCATAAACCACAGGGCTTTTATTTAATATATGTCTCTATTACAGGCTGTCAAAAAATACACTAAAAAGACAATTTACATGTGTGAAAATGTTTCACAAACCCCCGTGAACATGACGATTTACATTACATTTCACCACCCATCTATCGGACCACTGAACTAGATTCTGATATGATATTAATGTCACTCATCCATTACAAGTGCTGTGTTTATCAGTGAAATGAACTTAATCCCATCCAGAATCAATAAATTATTCTCATATTTAAGACCAAATGATTGTGTTATTGGTGATGCATCAATTTATTAGTATTTTACTGTTTTGGCTGGTTGAGGTTGGGTTACATTACTATGGGAATGTGTGCAAAACTATATAGATGTTTTTAAAACTTGCCTCCAATCTCTGGATTTAGATAAACGTGTCACAGAGTGGCTACAACTAATACATCTAATTCACAATGCATTGTCCACCTGGCCAAAGGCATTTTTGAAAATGTGCAGAGGTGCTGTATCTTAGTGATGGGGGGGGGGGTTTCAAAATAAAAATATACAAAGCTATTAATACGTAGCATGTTTATAGATCCACACATGGTGAACTTCATGTTGAGCTCCCCAATTTCACATCAGTCAACATTTTTGGAGAAAGCGGGCGTGCTAAAGTATTTTCCTATCATTCAATTAATTGGTGCATAGTCGCTTTAATACAAAAATATTATGTTCTGTCATGGCGTCTTATTGTGAAGGGGGAAAGAGATCCTGGTAGCATATGCTCTGACGTCGGACGTTGTAAGAGTTTACTTTCTATTTGTGTGTGTTTCTGTATGTGTGCCACTGGAGGTCAGGCTTGATCAGTAAATCAGCTTCCGTTGCATCTTCCACCTGTCCAACCTACATCGTTTTCTCTCTCTGAGTTAACTTGAGCTTTCAACAGGTATCTCTCGAGTAGGACTCCCCCCCAAAAACACATATAAGACAGTGAGACAATGCAGTCAATGTCAGCCTTTACTCTGACACTAAGTGATTTTCACTGGGGGTTGGTTTCCATCCGCCCCCGAGGTGCTTTCCGCTGAGAAGAACAGCCAGAAGAACATCCAGATGTTCTCCTCAGGGTTCTCCCCGCTGTTCCGCCACCTCATAACAGAACGAAGCCTGGAGGCTTTTGAGGCTCCGAGGGATCAACCTGGGTTCAGAAGTCACGCTTAGGGACTCGCCACACTGTCAGAACACGAGAGACTTTTGACTCCGGAGAACACATATAGGTATGTAGGTATGTATTATGAAGCCTATAGATTAATGTAAAGTACCTGGATTACTAGTACACGGCAAACATGGCCAACGTGTTTGTGACTGTCAGAAACCCACAATCCCAGTTGGCCGCTCTGCCTTTTGAAGAAGACGAGGGGGATTGTGCTGTGCCGGTAAATGGCAACATAAGATGCCGCGTACTCAATTAAATATATGGGGCTTATAAAGACATATTTATGTTCACCTTGTGTCTTGACAAGGGAAATACTGGGAATCATAGATAAAGGCTCTCTGCTCTCTAAACATGAGATGCTTTAGCCAAGGCCTTCAAAGCACATTGAGAATGTTTGATTTATACTACTAACTACTAGCCAAGAATTACGGATTTCAGTGTGAAATCTTAATTTGTAAAGTAACAAACGATATCTGAGAAATGTGGAGCGTAAAGTACAATCTCTGCTTTCAAAATCATGCACTGTTCCCTTTCACTTCTTGGAGCCGCTCCTCACAAAGTATGTACTGCTGCAATCAGTTGGGCCAAAGCACTTCATCGATGAGCTTTGACCCTCTTGCACACATATCCGTCCAGTGGAGAACGTTCGGTCAGAAAAAACATGCCTAATTGCATAAAAGTAGGACTTCCTGGTATTTTTGGTGTACTGCGTTTGAATAACTATTTGTACAGGAATATTTTGAAGTATTTATATGACGTGTGTCCCAATACATGACACAATAAATATTTTTATTTAAATCGTACATCTGCCTAAACAGACAAAAATCTTTTCAGTACTAGTAAGGGAATATAAGGTCCCTGGCTTTCTTGTGTCGTCTGTAGGTCTGCTAAAGGGCATTTACTGTTTGTATTGATACTTGCAGTGAAACTCTTAGTTCTTAAGAGATGCTGTACCCGACCATCCCATGTAAATCGATGATTTGGAAGAACAAAGTGGGCCAATTATCTGTTCCGGAGGTTTCTGTAAACTGGCGTTTGATTTCATCGCTTCCGTGCAGACCATCAGGTTCCAGGTTCTGTGACTCTGGAACCTGTAAAACGTTTGGAGGGATGATTCATGCCTGTTGTATTTTTAACTGACTCAAAGTGAGCTCATTTGTCAAGTGTCAAATATAATTATTGAGTCATGGGAATTTGGGGAATTTGCACATGTGACATTGCACTTGTCGATGTGCTAAATGTGAACTCATGGAGCAAGAGCAGTTACAAGTTTAAAGGCTCCAGGGTCAAACATCTGGAATACAGGTATTTTGTCAATATGCTTTCAATGGGGTCGTCGTGGTGCAGGGGTTAGAGAAGGTGTGCTGGGAAGCACAAGGTTGGTGGTTCGAGTCCAGGCTGCCCAATGTTCCATGTCGAAGTGTCCCTAAGCAAGACACCTAACCCCTAATTGCTCCCCAGGACAAATGTGAAAATGGGTTTAAAGTGTAGTGTAGGTTGCTTTGGATAAAAGCGTCTGCTAAATGACATGTAATGTAATAACTTGGGTATCATGCTACATTTTGTGATGGAAATAAACTCACAAACCATGCCATCTGAATGCATCATGCCTTTTTAATATGACTTTGTACAGATACTTGCTGATAACCCTGTAGTGCACAAAGCTAGTTGTTTGATGAATGCTGGATTGTTTCTTAGCAACTGCAGTTGTATTTGTGTGGTGTCTTATAAGACCGTGAGGGTGGGGCACTTGAATGTGCAGGACAAAATCCATCCATCCGGGGGGGCTGGAGTCCATCCCAGCCAACTTCGGGCGATAGACAGGGTACACCCTGGATTGGTCGCCAGCCAATCGCAGGGCCACACAGAGACAGACAACCATTCACACTCACACATCTACGGGCAATTTAAAGTCCCCAATTGACCTGATCCCCAGAGCATGTCTTTGGACTGTGGGAGGAAGCCGGAGAACCCGGAGAGAACCCACGCAGACACGGGGAGAACATGCAGACTCCACACAGAAAGGCCACTGGGCGGAATCGAACCCAGGACCTTCTTGCTGTGAGGCAACAGTGCTAACCACCACGCCACCGTGCCGCCCTTGCAGGACAAAATAAATAGGATAATTAACCTATTAACTAACTTGAGCAGGACATCAAATTCCTTTCCATACGGTGAGACCAGTACCACGCCATCATTGCAGAAAGTGCACCCATCGATACATAGATGTGCAAATAAATGCACGCACCCACACGTTCATTTCGCCAGTCAAAGTTTACTTAAGGTCCAGCGATGAGACTTTTTTCTTTTACTCATTTGCAGAGGCGGGTCTCGTCGCAAGCTTATGGTTTATTTCTGAGGCTGTCTCATGAAATAGAAAATGACGCGACCTGTCTGTCTCCCTCAGTGACGCTCCTTTGTGCACAGTAGGTGGGATGTGCTATTCGGCATTGAGTCAGACAGACAGACAGAGAGCCCCCTGGCGGCGGAGCGCTGCAACCAGGTTGAGAGAGAGAGAGAGAGAGAGAGAGAGAGAGAGAGAGAGGAAAATGGGTGGACGGAAAGTCCCCGTGTGGAAATCCCCTTGACTTGTGCCTTTTCAAAAAAAAAAAAAAAAAAACCCACAACTATCATTAGCAGACTGTGTACTCCTTTGAAAGGCTTCACGAGCTGCCACGGCTCCAAAATAGATCTGATACTGAAGGAAAGAGAAGGTTGAATGGCGCCGAGGTCCGCAGCGGTGAGGCTGAGTAAAGGGGCTCGGAGAGGACCAGCCTGAGCATCCGGGAGGGCTTTGTTATTACCCCCGACACATTACACAGGTAAGACACCCGTCCTCCCCTCCCCGCGTGGACAACATTTCCTCCCCTAAAACGCCGAGGGGGGAGAGGGGGGCGACTCGGAAGGGAAGGCTACATCACGCTCGGGCCTCGAGTGCAACGTTGTGGCCGTGTTTCTGGGAAACATGGAGGAAGCGTGAAGCCCGCTCGCGACGGTGGCTTTTTGACAGCCATTGTTTACAAAGACGTCACCCTCGAGTGGATAACGCGGCGTCCGCACGGGGCCACGGTGTGGCGTCGGCGCCGCGACACTGTAGCGAAAGAGCCGCCGCCGCCGCCGCCGCCGCGTTCGAGGGCTACATTGTGTTCAAAAGGTAGCTGTCATTGGAATTACGTAAGCCCTTTAACGTCAGCGAAGTCTTCCGTTGTTGTGTAGCGTAGTGTAGCCATGGCTCCGAACCCGCAGCGTCCACTGCCTCCCCCCCCCAAAAAAAGTCCTCCAGCGGCCAATGACCGGTGTCAACACGCACGCTGACACCCAGGTTATGCGTGCTTCCCGGCCCCTATCGTGGGACCCACCGTGGCCCCTTTAGCACGGCCTAGTGTGTCGTTGCACCTGCTGCTGCTCGAGTAGTGAAGGTGTTCACGTGTTGTGCTTGTTAACTTTAACAGTGTCTCTCGACCATTGGCTTCTTCTCAAACGCTTTGTTTTAAAATGAAGGAAGTTAAAACACCCCAGGCCTGCTTGCTGACCGTCACTTTTCTACTTCCCGAACTGAAACATGTGCTGACATACTATCCCTTTATGGGTGAAATGTGCCTTTAAAAATCTCCAGACAGCGAGGGTTAAAAAAAGAAAAACACCTGCTCTGCTCTTCTACTTCTACTGTCAATGTGTGTGTTGGGCCGTGATGCGTTCGAGACCTACAATATTGCATCAAGCACTGAAATCTTGCATCAAGAGTTCAACCTCAGTCTATTTATTTATCCTTACAAAACCGACCTAAACCAGTACGCTTTGCTAACTTTAGGCCACACACTCGTGCAGCTGCTTCTCTTAGGACGACATTAAACAGGGATGTATCGATCGTCATTGAATACAGTATCAGTACTGAAACCTGGGCATCATAATGACACTTTTATCAAAGATGTTCAAACAAGTCCTGCTCCTATACTGTTTTAAATAGACCTAATGAAAAAGGTGATTACGTGGGAGGAGGTCATGGGGCAGACGGTGTGACCTGGGGGGTTCAAGTCCAAGTCTGGAAAACACCTGTTTATTTTTGGAGGGCGTTGAACCCAGTGGGTCACTGGGGTGCCCCTGTTTGGGGAAACTGAACAACCTTTTTTAAGGGGGGAAAAAACGAGAATTAAAAGAACAAATAGGAACACAAAGGGGTTCTCTGTGCGCGTTTATTCCATTTGGCCCACCAGAATCTCCCGTGAAAAAGCCCCAAACAGCTTTCACAGTGAGGTGTTTGGGTGGTTTCCCCGAACCAACAGCAAATCAAGTAGTGCCTTAAATCATAATTAATAAGGAAGGGGAATCTCCTCTGAAAATGTCCCACCAGTATGTTCTTTTCTTTACTGCGTAATAACCCACTCCCCTTCTCTCCATCCAGTTTCCACGTTGCTGGGTCAGCGGTGGCTGGTGCCTCCTCCTCCTCTCCTCCTCCTCCTCCTCGTTCCTCTTCCTCCCCTCCTTCCACCCACCTGGCCACTCATCCGCCATGTCGCAGGGTCAGAACTTCCTCCCAAAATTCCTGTTTGTTTCCAACCTGCTGAAGGCGGTGAAGATCCGCCAGCGAGTGCCCAACGACGTGGTCAAGCCGGCTGCCAGCAGCGGCCTGATGCACCACCTGCGGGGAATGCACCGGTACACGCTGGAGATGATCGCCATGAACCACTTCCCGCAGGCCTTCAGGGAGGTGGTGCAGGCCGCCATCCTGGACCGAGCCATGCAGGCCTCCCTGGAGCAGGAGAAGAAGCTCAACTGGTGTCGGGAAGTGAAGAAGATGGTGCCCTTACGTACAAATGGTGAGACGCGTTTGCCAATGTCGTCGCTTTTCTTGTGATTTTCTCACCAAAGCGCCATGAAGGCCGGAGCCCTTTGGCGAAGTTTCACACAAGTTGGGAGATGCTAGAGATGGCGCAGGAAGCTGTGGTGATTTTTAAGGCAGAGTTCAACAACAGAAACGTTCTCAGAGCTCATGAGCAGTGGCAATGCTCACCGCTCAGTGCGGACGATGTAGGTTTTTTTGCCTTTGTTTCATTTTCAATGATAGAGGCGGCGCGTGTTGTTGAGTCAGGCCTTTTTGATATGTAAATTCTGAGATGTCATTACTCACAAGCAGGGTTACTGTAAATGAGAACAATAGAGGGACCCGATTCCGCTCCCACATACAGCAGCCCCTCTTTGCGTGTGAGTTCGCTCAGCCATTGCTAAGTCAGGTTTTCTGTTACGTGAATGTTGTAACGCAGGAACGTCCCATGGCAGGCGAACATTCAGACCCTGCTTGTGTCTGATCGTAGCACTTTGCTGGGAAATTCTCTGGCGTCACTCGCTGTGTTTTCATTTACTGACGTTGATGTTTCAGACCCCACTATTTCCACAGATTTTCATTTACAATCTTGTGTCCGTCCCCTCTTTTTCTGTGTAGGTGTGTGTTTGTGTGTGTGAGGAGAGTCAATGTCAGTGAATCTTAAAACATCTCAAATAGTTTTACCTTTTAGATCTCCAACTGCCTGGCTGTCGCTTTTGTTGCTGTCTTTGACTTTGGTCTGTGTGTCACGACTCACTGGGCCTCATCAAACCAAAGCTGACCAATTCCGATTACCTCTCGCTGTCTCTTTGTCTATATTTCGGTAACTTAAACACATCTGGTGTGTACATCAGACTCGGCTTTTTAGGTGAAGCCATAGCATTCACGAAAGAAGAGGGAAGCAGAAATCAAGCTGATTTACATGTTTGCCTTGTGGGTTTCCATAGGAAATATGTTCTTTCTTTCTCATAGGAAGCAATTAACACTTTGCAGTGAGGATTTCCTGTTGTGATTGCATCTCAGAATTAACTTTAAACAGTCACTGGATGAATGGGGACCTTGCTGGGTGTTGTGTGCGTTTATAGTGACAGTAAGTTATTGATGACTAAAGGAGTTACTGTAAGTGTCGTCAATACATGGTTCCTCTTCAGAAAGACCCCTGACTCTTCTGACTCCTACTGCCAGTAACCTGGATGGAAAGTCCTGGCATGTGAGGATGATGTCATAGAGATGAGACGGAATTGAAAAGCTGTCTTAACAGAAGGACCCAGGCGTGACTTTGAGCTGAGGACGCACACACACACACACACACACACACACACACACACACACACAGAAGCCTGACGGACTGCTGCTGAGTCACTGGAGCTCAGCAGAGAGACCCACATACGAAGAGAAGATTGATTAATGAGGCCTTCCCTGGCTGCATGTCCATTGACAGGACATGCAGCCAGGGAAGGCCTCATTAATCAATCTTCTCAGAGATAACACTGTAATAAGATCAGTCTCCACATCGCCTGCCACCTAAATGGACCCGTTTTTCCATCATCACAAGACCTACATTTATTCCCAGTCTGAAACAAATACAACTGACCATTATAAGACCCACACAGCCGGTTTAAAACGTTAATTCCCCGGCACCCTTCATTGAAATTCAGTGTGTCTCCTGTTTGAATGTTTTCACCATACAGCATCTCAGGTCTGTCATGTGTCCTCAACAGCCACAGCGGGGTCTACAAGCAGAGAGGACACACAGTGCTCTGCCTTATAAGTACAGACTACTTTAGTGAATGTGTTATTCACAGTTTTTGATAAGAAACACGAGAGGTCACACCTCCAGTTCTTATCATATCAGAAGCAAAACTTTGGCCGGGACTTGATAGCTTGGTTTAGTTTCACCTGGCCGAGCGGGATGGTGGGTGACGTGTGCCACGAACCTAATTCCGCATTGGAAAGCACCACATTGGAGACCTTGTGGTTGGTGTCACCTGCACAACAATGAGATGAGGATTAGGTCATACATTGGTGTGTTTTTCGGGAAGTGTGCAAACAGGAAGTGTCTATATTTAGACCGACGTGGTCAGCCGTCTTCAATCTTTAGTCATCACGCTTCATTTTTTTGGGCTAATTAAAAGAGTAAAGCTGATTACACAAGCCCATCGGCCATGTTTGGGCCTTTAGCCTATTCTTGTACGATTGCTCATCTCTTTAGTGGATGATAAAGTGTTGAGACTGAAGCATGAAGGAAAATTGCAACCACATCTCGCGCGTCTGAAATAGAGGTGACGGTTTTTATTTTTTTCTTGCTCAAAGTACAGCGGGATCTTCTCTCGGGTGAATAAAAACGCAACTGCATCTCACATTCCAGTCATCTCGCGATACAGATAAGGTTGTTATGAGGAATGTGATCCAGTTTTCTAGGACGTGACCCTTACGCCGGCTCAACTCATTTTGACTTTTCGCGTTCTAGGCTGTGATTGAAATGAACTTTTCTCGTACAGATCTCGCTATTCGATGCAACGATGTTGTGCGGAGAAAGGTGTGCCGCTACTGCCGGGTAAACATTACAGAACAGAATGTGAAGGTCACATGAACGCTCACATCACGTTACCTCTGTATGCCTTTTATGCACGTGAGTGCACGTGTTAACTCATTATCACAGCCTTTATTGGGCGGTGATGGCACTAGTTCGAAAGATAACATTCCACCCTGTCCGTGTCACTCCCCTGTGGAAAGTCCAGGACCAGCTGAGAGGCATTGATGAGTTGGGATCATAGGAAGTAAGCACACACACACAAAAGGCAATAGTTAAACATGGGGAATTCCTGTGTATGGTGTGGCAACAGGGTTCCTCAGAGCCGCGCACATTGACAAACATGAGCGCTCCTGTTTCACAATGAAAAAAATCCCAGAATTTGACATTGTTGACATATTCCATTTGAGAAACTATTCCCCCGCCGGTCTGTAGAATACAGAGGAAGAAGTTTAGGTCCGCTTAAAGTACTGAAGGAGATTTTTTTTTATGTATACAGATGTCTCTCAGGCCAGCGGGGTAAAAGCCCAGCTTTGTCGGTCACGCTTGTATAGCCTCAGACATGTGATCTTCATATAATAGTCTAGTTACCAGATAGTGTGACAACTGACCCGACGGCCTGGAATTCCCCAGACTTTTGTTGCGTTTGTATGTGTGTGTGTGTGTGCGTGCGAGCGTGTGCATGTGCGTACACTATAACAGTGTAATCGGTGTACGCTCTGCATTTGCAGACGTGTGCGCGAAAGTCTGCACAATGGCGTTAGAATGCCTTTTCGTGCACTAAATCAACCATCCTCGGTTCTAACGTTGTATGTCCTTGCCTGCCTGTTCTGCGTGTGTCACTAGGAGATGGGAACTGCTTGCTGCACGCGACCTCTCAGTACATGCTGGGCGTTCAGGACACGGACCTCGTGCTTCGGAAAGCCCTCCATGGCGTTTTGAAAGAGACCGACACTGGTGTCTTCAGGGCTCGCTTCCAGGCGGAGCTGCTCCGGTCCCAGGAGTTCACTCAGACCGGACTCCGGTACACCACGATGGTATGATAAGATTAAATCAGGTCTACGTCAAAAGTCTTCTCCACTACTTTGCCTTTAGTATCTATGTAAGGACACCAGACACCTGAGCTAAAGCTTACAGCCTATCAGAGTGAAACATTCTACTGCCTCATATGCAATGTAGAATAGTATATTTTATGTTTTCATGCAATAGTTCAAGCCAGATTATGTGCACACACCCTTCATATTTTCCTACACATATAATATTTTATGGAATGACTGTGTGAGCACATGTGTATCTATCTTAACTCTTTATATGTGCCCTGTCCCAGAACTGGGAGGAGGAGTGGGAGAAGATTGTGAAGATGGCGTCTCCGGCCTCCAGTAGCAACGGCCTCCAGTTTGACTCCCTGGAGGACATTCACATCTTTGTCCTTTCCAACATTCTCCGTCGACCCATCATCGTCATCGCAGGTACCGACCTTTTTTTCTTCTTCTATCGTCTCAAAGTACGTTTACTGCTTCCTTGCCAGCCATCAAAACCCCGCTGGTCATGTCCTTAAGTCATAAAGAAAGTGAGGGAATCTCTTTCCACATGCCTCAACGTTTTGCTCGCAGTGTTTGATTTCAGTCCCAGAGTGGATGTAGTAAATACTGTTTTGTATGCAGGTTAAATAAGCAGAAACATGTTTGTTCTTGACTTGTATGTTGTTCTAATACACACCTCGTTTTCCTTTCAACGTCTACTAACCCTTCAATCGCTGTTCTTTCAACAGACCAGGTGGTCAGGAGTATGAAATCTGGCTCCTCCATCTCTCCTCTGAATGTGGGTGGGATTTATCTGCCGCTACACTGGCCGCCCACAGAGTGCTACAAATACCCAATAGTGCTCGGCTACGACTCCCAGCACTTTGCACCGCTCATCACCATCAAAGACAGCGGCCCCGGTAGGAAACGAGAAGGTCTTCTGGAGCTGACCTGGCAAAGAGGCCTGATCAGAAGTTGCCCTTGTTTTTATTTTTTCATCTGACACCTTGGTCTGAATCTCCCAGAGATCCGAGCAGTATCGCTGATCAACCCAGGACGAGGGGGCTTCGAGGAGCTGAAGGTTCACTTCTTGATGGAGAAAGAACAGCAGCAGAAGGAGCGGCTTCTTAAGGAGTACCTGCTGCTGATAGAGATCCCCGTCATCGGCTTAGGCTACGACACCACACGGATCATCAACGCCGCACGGTACTTAAATATTATGAATTGATTGATGATTGATAAGAATATGATTTATGGCATTGTAACACAACTGGTTTAACCTCATCAGCACTGATGGCATGGACAACCATATCAGAATCCAACTGTAAAAGTCTACAATCACCAAAAGGGGCAGTTCATTTAAGATCTGCATTGCCTGTGTCTGTCCCCAGGCTGGATGAGGGCAACCTCCCTGAGGACATGAACCTGATGGAGGACTACCTGCAGCTTGTCAACCACGAGTACCAGCGCTGGCAGGAGGACAAGGAGCAGGCGTGGGCCGCCCAGCCGCAGCGCCCACCGCCCTTCTCCGTCTCCCAGCTCTCCCTCATCGAGATCCGCTGTGCCACACCGCGATGCACCTTCTACGTGTCGGTGGATACGCAGCCTCACTGCCATGAATGCTTCGAGAAGCGACAGGCCACGACCGGCGGTGGAATGAGGATAGAAGGGGTCGTGCAGACCAAGGGAGGAGGGGTGCAAGGTGGGGTCGGAGTGATCGGGGGATCGGAGATCGAGGTGAGCTCCAGAGGAGCTCGGGGCAGCAGCCCCCCATCCTCCACGTCCGGGAGAGGGGTGGTGATATCCAGCCCCCGCTCAGCCCCGCCCACCGCTCCCAGCCTCAGCCTGTACAGTGAGACTCACGCCATGAAGTGCAAGACACCCGGCTGCCTCTTCACCCTCAGCGTGGAGCATGATGGACTTTGCGAGCGCTGCTTCAACGCCAGGCAGAACCACGGACCCCCTGCAGCCGGTACAGCTGCCCCAGGACTCCCAGGCCCCAATGGGGGGCCTACAGTCCCACACCCGGCCCAGGGCACCGGCTGGACCCAGTGGGGGAGCCGTGAGACGGAGACAGAGCGCTGCAGCATGTGCAGACAGGAGGCGTTCAGGATATTCAATGGCCTTTGTCCACCGTGCATGCAGAGGCAGCAGCCTCCAGAGAGGGGAGAGCCGCAGCAGAACAACCCCAGGACCGAGGCCTCGTCTTCAGCTTGGACCCAGGCCAGGGACGCTGAGAGGCCGTGCCTCACCCTAACCCCGGGGCACACCTCAGCCTGGCAAGCCCCCCTGGCCCGGCCTTGTAAACGATCCGGCTGCCAGTTCTTTGGGACGCCGGAGAAGTTGGGTTTCTGCACTATTTGCTACGTAGACTATCAGACCAACCACCGTAAGTCCTGAGACTTCGATCATCTTACAGGGCTGTTCGAGGTGTTTCGCATCATAGGAATTTAAAATACTCAAAAGTCAAAGCATGTGCCATTGCTTATGTTGGTTACCGTCTGTTCCAGACCTGACCCCTCCCCCACCCCCTCCCCCTGCCGCGGTCCAGAGCCGGCATGGCGTGGAGGCAGGCTTCCAGAACGCCTCCCGGTGTCGAGGGGCCGGCTGCGGTGCAGTTGGCAAGGCGATGCTGGAGGGCTACTGCGACAAGTGCTACGTCAAAGAGCAAAGCACGCGGCTCAACCAAGCGGCCCACCGCACGCCGCACTCCCCTCCTCCGGTCATGGTAGGCGTCTGCCGCACCTTCAGTCCTTCTTGCTCACCTCAAGTCTAAATGCTGTTCCACTGATGCCCTCTCAGTCGCCAAATTGACCTTTCTCCTCCTTCTTTTTTTTTTTTGTCCCCTTCTTCTTTTCATAAAGCGTGACCGAGCAGCCAAACCCAGATCTTCACAGCAATCCCAGACGCAGACCCAGACGCAGACCCAGACGCAGACGCAGACCCAGACTCAGACTCAGTGCCGGCGGAGCGGCTGCAGTAACGTCTCCCCGGGCTGCACAGACCTCTGCCCCGAGTGCCACACTCGCGGCCAGGGCAGAGAGGCGGGCAGACGGGCGCAGGCGCCCAAGGAAAAGTCCAAGCAGCGGTGCCGGACGCAGGGCTGCGACCACTACGCCAACCAAGAGAAACAGGGCTACTGCAACGAGTGCGACCACTTCAAACAGATTTACCGCGGCTGAGCGCGATGCGACGCGCTGCTAACCGCGCTAGAGCCGCTGCCCTGCTGGTGGCGCTTCATGCCAGTCAATGCACCTCTGATACTAACTAACCAACAAACTAACTAACTGGTGACTAACTAGTAACCTTATGGCCTGAAAGTCAAACCCCCCCTCCCCCCACTCCCCAACCCCGTGTAGAATGTGAAGAGAGCGCGTGTGTGGATGTGGTAGTGGAGGTGGGCGGTGGTGGTGAGTGTGCGTGTGTTTTCGCAGTAGACATGGCCTCCAAAATACCTCTTTGTGCAATTATTATCATCTGACGTGCCGCGGGCACTTCCACGGTGAGAGGTTCGGCTACATGTCAGAGCAACTGACTTAACTCTCGTGTACAATATGTATTTAGAGGTACGTCGCAAATCGTGCCGGACAAAATGATTGTATGTTGACATAACGAGAAGCATCTTGACATTGCTTTCCAGATCACAGCCAAGGATTTATACCCGCCGTCTGTCTGTCTTAACGCCATCCGTGTATCCGTCCGCCTGTCTGTCGAGCTTTCGCCTTGTAGGATGAGGGATGCGGTGGTGGAGAACAAGCCCGCGGAGGTAGTAGGCAGGAGTGAGCCAACCGGCGACAAAGTGAAGCCACAGTGGACGAGCTTAATTCTCATGTACGTCCTCCAGACAAAGACAAATGCTTGCAGAGAAGAGGCTCCTTGCTATCAACGTTGTAAAAGGGTCGAGGCTTCATTTTTTTCCACGTGTCAGTTCGAAAGCAGTTTATATTTTTAGGCAACCTAAACTGGAAGTTGTTAACCTATTTGTTATATGACGTGGATGAGATTGTTGATAAGGAAAGCAAGAACAGACCTTTTGTCTGTACGGTGCGAGACGGACAGGGCGGGCCCCTGCCAGTTTTGGTGCTACGTGTACAGAAATAAAAGCTTCTCCATTGTAGCCGACGCGTCGGCGGCGTCAGCGGGACGCAGGAGAGACGGGACTCATTCGTTCTCTCACCATTCCTCCTTATTTGCCCTCTCCTTCCTCTGAAACAGATCTGTTGCCTTGGACGTTGTTTTGCTGTTTACTGACCGCGTGCGCACCTAGAAATGCGTTAGACACACACACACACCTGCACATGCGCACACAGACGCGGTAGCTCCAGTCCGGTCAGACAGGGGATTGCCAACAGGAGGGCGGAGAGCACGTCGCCGAGTGATTAACCGACGTACCGCCGCGTATACAAACATTTGCACACACATGCAAACGAAGCTCTGTGAGACTGTACATGCGCCCCACCCTGGCCTGAGGTGGTATGTAGGTGAACGAAGCGATAGAGAAATGCATTCCTCTCGCCCCCCCCCCCCCCCCCCCTGGAGGGGCCATGGGGACAGTTTCAAAAAAAAGAGCAATCCCATCGCCTGCTTCGGCTAAACTTGTTCATCTGAATGTGTTTCGTGCTGCTGCTACAACAGCACAGTATTGGGGCTGATCCTCGATATTTTTTGCCTTTAAGTAGTGATTGAGATTTTATGGACCAGAGGAGCCTGTTCGCTGATCCTGGATCAGTGCTCCCACCTATAAAATGCTTTTGTGAATATGGATCTGGGTCCATATTGTAGGACCTTCCAACCCGATGCCTCATCTCCAACAAGAACAGACACACACACACACACACACCCCCAGAACGCACGCATGTCTGCGTCTGGAATACGCAAAACTGACATTCCTGTTTCTTTTCCCCTTTTTAAAAATTTGTTGAGAGTTTTTTTTTTTTTTTATGTATTTTGATATATTTGGTTTTATTTCTGCCAAACAAACAAAAAATACACGTGCCATCAACCGCCAAAACAGTTGTTGTTACCTCCTTAAAAATGACTTGCCTGTACCACTCTAAACTAACCAGAGGGCCACAAATAGACATCTCCAACCCAGTGTTGCCACAAAATAAACCTTACCGAGCTCTACGTGGAAAATCCCCAGATAGGCGCCATCCTTTCTTATGAGTATCGATTTAGTGGAAATATGAAGAACTGTTTATCGGCGGAGATCGCCTCGAGCGTAAAACATTCATCCAACAACCTCAAATGTGATATCAACTGTACGCGTTGTTCCCCTTGTGCTCCGCTGCTGTAGGCAGATGTCCATCTGTGGCTCCGGTTATGACAGCAGAGACAGAAACGGGCTCTCGGTTTGCCTTTCCATTCAACTGTACCTGAAGCTGGCGACGGCCCGTACGTAGGTCTCTGTGTGCTTTAATCACCTCTAGACAAACCTTAATCAACGAAAGGCCAGCATGTGGTTGGCTCATCCTGACACCCCCCCCGCCCCCCGCCCCTCCTCCAACCCTGACTGTAGGTTTTGGGGCGCTGACACGAGTTCCACTGGGGAGGGAGGTCACCTAAGTGAGGCATTTAGGGATGGTACTCCGACTCGCTGAGGGACATTCCAACAGTAGGAAGAACACCCGCTTAGAAACAGAAGGTGTGACAAAACATGCAAGTTTTCTCTGTGTGACCTTTCGACAATAGCGTATTGTATGAAAAAGCCTGGTTTTATTTGTTATGTATTTATTCATATCAAGATATCTGTATTGTGTAATTCAATAATTATTTATATGTCGTCCTGAAATGAATTATTTTTAATAAGAAATCTGAAATCCGTCTGGTGTGGTTATTTTGTGTGTGTGTGTGTGTGTGTTACTTTTGCACATGTGTCCTTTTGAGATTTTAACATTTCTCTAGTGCGTTTCAGGTCAGGATCAGTTCAAATGAGGAGGCTTTTCCTGGGTGTTATTCGGTTATTTCATGGCCTATTATGCTTTAGTAAAGAAGGGTGCCACCCATAATTATACATGGCAGAGCAGAGGTGTGGGACAGCAAAGGTACGCGTGGGTTTTCTCGCTGTCCTACGGCCTCAAACGCAATCAGGTGGGAGGGGAGCTGCTGTGGTTTCCTGGAAACACCCCGACATGCAAACACTTACTTTGTTTCACTTGGCGTGCGAGTTCTTCACCCGATGCCGGGGTTGAACGTTCCCACGCAGACTTTATACAACAACAAAAAAAAAATGTGTGAAGCAGACACGTCGGTTACAAGATAAGAAGAGATGCAGTATGCGCTCGAATGACGAGGATGGAGTTATCGAGTAGCGTCTATTTAAAGGACAAGTGCAGAGGGAGGAAATCTGTGAGAAAATCTGTGATTTGAACTTAGGAGGTCAGAACTCTGACAACGTTTGTGGCGTAATGGACGACTTCATTGTAACAGTCACTGTTTGTAATAAAGTGGCTCTCTAAGCTCTTAAGGTTTGCCGGAGTTTGCACCTCATGCTATTATTATTTTCTCATATTAAGTGTTGAAATCAAAAGGTGCCCGTCCCTTCAGCTCATTGAGGTTATAGTTATTACTCACAGCTGTCTAGCCGTTGGCCCGGCGACAAGCGATGAGTGCACAGGCGGTGTCAGATCATCTGATTAATTTCTCCTAGGAGGTGATTTGAATTTCAACAAGAAAAACAACCCTGACTTTAAAGATTAAGGGTGGGTGTTAATACCCTTCACAGTAGTGATGCCAAGTGAGAAATGAGAGTGCGCTATAATAACAGATGTGTTTGGACCATCCAATATGAGTAATAAAGGCCATGAATCTAGATGGTGACAAAAGGACTGGAGCACATTAAACTAACATTGGAAATCATTTACTTTAATGAAAGTAGTCGTTCAACTACGATCGGGCAGAGAACGTGTAGCTTTTTGAGCCCGTGTAGGACTCGGGATAAAAAGAGACTGGACTCAACACTCAAAAGTACTCAACCATCTCGTTTTAAACCATTTGACCCAACTCAGTATTTAAGATGTTACAATAATAAAAAAAAAGAGATTGAATGTCAATCTTGACTACAACACAATATTAATTATTTTTCTTAAAATAAATTAACCCGCAAAAATCTGACTCACTGCCTCTTCTGTTGAAAAATGAATTGTCGCAACAATCGAAAGTACATTCGAGTCTGATTCGACAGGAAGATATCTGTTATTGTGCAATAGGAAGCGGTTGTATCCATGGTTACCTTTGTTTGACCCTTTTGTAAGCAGCAAAAAAGATGATGAGATACACTTTTCCACTGAACAATATTACACACAAACACACACACGCTATAACTATGCCATTTGAAACTCCCCCATATGTCAGATTTGCCTGTGACCTTTTAGATTGAGGCTTTGCCAAATCCAGTGAGGAATACACTGAGCTCTGTGTACTACACAAGTACTTTAAGATATTTGTATGCCACCAGGTCCCTTTTTTAATGTTTTTAGACATTAAACATGATTTATCCCGCTTACTTTTAGCATGTTTAAACACTTACTAAGTGGTTTGTTTTATAATGAGTAACACACCGTATTCACCATAGGGTGGCGCTGGTGCGACGATGTTAACTGTGACTACAGACAACGACTACAACTCCCGGCATCCAACGCCGAGTTTACGGAAGTGGCTGCCGTTAGCAGAGGGCTGTTTCATTTACGCGCTCACCGCGTCAGGCGGTGTCAGAAGGAGCATCTGAGGACATAAGAACACCTACCGCGGTGCACGCGGGTCATCAACACAAACGCCCCCTTCGTTAACCGTTGGTACGGGCGAGACACACAACATGTTTATTGAATGTGTAGCACACAACGTAGCATGTGTAGTTAACGCTGGGGATAAAGCGTGATTTAACATCGGTCTTACATCAATGAAACCGTTTGACTCAGACGAGGAGGGCGCGGAGCAGCTGGGGGCTTACCAAAAGGAGCTGAGACGTAAGTTGAATGCTGAATGGGAAGCTAAATGTGCCAACGGCTAACTGTGGAGCCGTTAAAGCTGCCTCTTAAACTGTAACGTAACATAACTGTAACATAACATAACGTGGGTGTTATATGAAAACGTCTCGTCAACAAAATACCCGACTCAATGCCGCGTAGTTATCTTTACGTCTTGTGACGTCATTACGTCACAGCACTGAGGCGCGTGTGTATGAAGTCGTGTCACTGCCACCTGTTGTCGAGAATCGAGCAACTTGATCGAACTGAATTGGCTTGTCTAATAGACAACTTCTCATGCTCACGTTATAATTAAAAAATGATTGACAGTATGGCACGACAATTGTCAAGACACCAAGGTGTAACATTACAAAACCGAACCGTGGAATCAGCTGAACCAGCCGGCCTGATTTAATGTTGATAGTGACTACACAGCTTTTCCTACTGTACGTATGCATCCATCAACTGTGTGTTTGGTTATTCGTCATTGGGAAAAGCAGATCATCAGAAATCCCAGTGACTTCCAAAATGGTTCTCTTTCTAATTTGGGTAGTGGGCAAGTGTTTTTTTTTTTTAGACACCAACTAAGCCGCCATGGCCGCGGTGCAGAAACAATATACCGTGTAAGACCGGTGTCTCTGAAGGTCTGTTGTTCACAGAGCGGGCCAACCACAGCATACAGCAGCTCAGCAGTGTTTGGGCGCAGCTGGGCTCTGACGGAGAAGCGGTGGAGGAGCCCAGAGGCAGCGATGGAAGCCTCTTCACCGCCACGGCCGAAGAGGACAGGGCTGCATGGAGCCAAAAGACACAGAGCGAAGCAGGTGACTCAGTGATCAGTTCAAGTCCGTCCGACAAAGACATCGTTTTACTGGAGATGTCAACCATGCAGGAAGTCAAATTGAAATGCTTCGTGTGTGCGTGTGTGTGTGCGTTTGTGTGCGTGTTCCTTCGTCCTTTGGCATTGCAGTAAATCAGCTGAAGAGCCTTCTGCTGAAGCAGAGCAGAGAAATTCCCTCTCCTCTGACTCCTTCAAAGAAACCGTCTCCGTCAAAGGTAAAGTAAGCAGCTTGGCTGTTCAAATATATTGACCTGAGAAACGCTTTAAAGATCAGGGATCTTTAAATGGATTATAGTGATATTTTGCTTGCCATTCTGTTGTGTTGTTGGCCTAATTTTGGCCTCGGCCTTTTCTTTCCTCTGTTAGAAAGTACAGCATGAGGGACGGTCCAACTCGCCGGCTTTTCAGGATTTCGTACCAATGATTCAAAACCAGTCAGAGTACATCCAACACCTGGAAGCTGAAGTTAAATTGTGCAAGGTCTGTCCTCTAAAATGTGTTTGTGTGTGTGTGTATATTTGCAGGTCCATTTCCCTATTGTCCCAGGTTGTATACATTTTGATTCTCTGTGTGTGATTTCAGGAGGAGCTGCACGAGATTAAACAGCGAATCAGAGTGGTGGTGGTGGAGAATGAGAAGTTGCATTCCAACCTGAAATCCAGAGCTGCGGATGAATCACTGAAAGATTTCCCTATCCACAACTCCCCGGTAACTTGTGTTTGTGTCTGAGAATAATATGTGACTAATAGGATGAAATAATGAGTTTATTTTCAGCTAGTCTGTCAGGTTTTTAAATACAAGCATGCACTGCAAAACACTGAAAGAAAATATCGTCATTAAAATAAATATTACCCCGTGTAGAGTTTTGTTTTGTTGTCAAATGTAAAATTGTAAGATGTGTTCCTCAGGGAAATGGGAGTTTGTCAGTCAACAGACACAACATCCTGCTAAAAGAAGAGCTCGCCACGTGGAAACACGAACTAGTAAGGATTACAGATCAGCTTTTTGCTTTCCTCCTGTTGCTGGTCGGTTCTTCCTCTCCGCACCATGAAATATCTGCATTATCACAGCATTTTATGTTGTGTAATCCAGAAAAGAAATGTTTGCTCAAAGCTCTGACGACAAGCTGAAGTATGGAATCATTTTATAAATGTGTTACTTCAAAATTATCCAGATTTTTCTAAATTCCATTTGCATCTTTTATTTTGCATTCAATTTAAAATGTCCCCCCCACTGATCATTTATAACGCATAAAACAACCTTCAAACTAAGAAGGATTACACATTTCTTCGGCTCAAACATGCAGATGCCTTGGAAGATGTTGGCAAGATCCCACAGTGATCCCATCACTCATAGCGTTTCAAGGGTCTGTTCTGAACATGTTTGTGTTCATCAGGAACAATTGAAAGGGATCTACCAGGCCCAGATTGAAAGCTTGGAGGCTCAGGTCCTCTCCCTCAGGTCAGTATATTCCAGCTGTGAAGCCAGCGTAGATTGTTTGCTTAAAATCAATCAGACTCAGACTCTCCTGGTTTCATCTTTTGCTTCCGGTCTCAGGAAGGATCTGTCGGTCAGTCAGAAGGAGTGCGAGGAGGTGAAGGATCGCCTGCGACACCGGGAGAAACATGCTGCAGATGCACTGAGAGCTGACGGAGCTCCTCGTGTGGCAGGATTGTGTCTGCAGTGTGCACAGCACGAGGCCGTTTTGGCTGGGACTCACACAAATCTGCATGTGCAGGCTATTGACAGACTCCAAAAGTCAGTTTTATTACACAAATACAAAAGGGTCAGCTCTTCACACTCTGTAGCTTTAAGTAAAAGATGATACATTTATGCACCTGGTTATGACACCGGGCAGATTTCTGTCTGTTGTTGACGTATCTTACCTATGTCTCTTTAAGGGAGTTCATGATATTGACAGTTATCATCCGTTATTCAGGACTAATTTCCCCATGAGCATTGCTTAACGCTGATTTCCTTGTCTAATGGATCTTTTAGGGAGCGGGACGAGTTACTGGTGGCTCTGCGTGGTGTGCGAGCCAGTCAGCAGGAGGCCCAGCAGAGGGAGTGGTCGGCCTGTCTGCAAGTCAAGCAGGCTGTGGAAATGGCAGAAGAAGCCAATCTGTACAAAGCCAGGGTCAGAGAAACATTTGGTGTATAGATACACACTTTTCCAGTTGTGTGACATTGCACTGCATTTAAGATGTGTATAGCTCCTTCACCAGTTGTCTTCTCAAGTAAAAACCCTTCGTACCCTGTGTGTCTGTTTGTATGCGTGCAGGTGGAGGTGCAGTGTGAGCAGCTGTCCAGGGAGCTGGCTCGACTCAGGGAACAACTAGAGCGGGAAGCGCAGGCATTGAAGGAGAGACTGGCCGAGGCCAGAGAAGAGGGCCGGTCTGACGGCCGCAAGCAGAGAGAAGAGCTGACACAGACCGTAAGTCTCACTTACTCACTTTCTATGTGTATGTAGATTATTACGTATGAAGTTCCAATCCACAGCTCAGGTTGCTTTGAAATACTGAATATATGTCTATTCTATATTTGATCAGACAAATAAAAATATTTATTGCACAGGCAGCTGCCATTTTAGCTCAATAAGTTGCTGTAGAGAGGAAACTCTGACATTGCCATTTTTCAATGAAATGCCATTAGAAAACTGTGTGTATCAGGTGTCCAGCTTCTCTCAGCGGGTTGCTGAATTGGAAGGACAGCTAGGCCGAGTTCACAGGGACAACAGCTCACTGACCAATCAACTGGAAGACACTCTTGGCAAACTTACCAGCCAGGAACAAGAAAATACCAAGGTACAGTGTCAGTGTTGTGCAGCAGAACCGTAGCTCAACATATATACATTTTTATTTATGATTAGAGCTTTCATTTGCACCGTATCTGCCAGACCAGTCATTAAAAAAAGCTCGCTGTATCTTTTTTAGAAAAATCAGAAGTTGGGAACACTTCTGATACTCTGGTTATTTGTAATTCTTTTGTAAATCCATTGGGTGGCAGTAGAGATTTGTCTATTTCAGTATTTGTTCTCTGCTGCTAGAAGGGTGAATTCAGCATGTATTTATAATTTACTTTAAGGTGAGGTGAAAACCCGGCCTTGTTAGAAGATGCTTAGTCCATGTCTTATTATGTTTTATAGCAAAATGATACATATGAATGGAATTGGTAGCAAAGCCGTGAAAGAATTGCGTAGTCTTCATGAAGACAGAGAATTCCACGCTAACTCCAGTCCATCTTCTATAAACAACTCTGTCCTCTAACTGTGTTTGGACAAAAAAATACATTAATATGTATTTATGTTCAATAAAAGATGATACAAATGGTAGTAGCACATAGTGTAGGAATGTAAACGTGGATAATATATGAACAGCAAGCGTAACGTAAGTAGTAGAATATGGATAGAGGTCCAGTGAAAGTATCAGTATTATGACCTAGTGTAATTAAGGTCAGGATAGGAAATACCATCATGGAAGTAAAACAAAAAAAAGGCAAATTAAGAAACCATGAACAGGAAGCAATGATTGGACTGGCTGCTTTTAATCAGTTCATCTCATTCCTAGGTGTGTGTGGATCTGCGATATCAGCTCAGCCAGGCCCAGCTGAGGAAAGAGGAGGCAGAGCGAGAGCTCCGAGAGCTGCACACCAAGACCAGCCGACACGTGGAAAAGGCTGCGCAGGTACGTCTGCTTTCTACCCTTTTATTAGTTGACATTTAGTAGATCATTAGAGTTCTTTCTTATGTTTTTTAAGTCGCACAATGTCTAGATGGTTTTGGTGAGGATTTGGTAAAGTGTCTAATGTTCAGGATGGTACAAAAAGCAAAATCAAGAACCCCTCCAACACTCCATATTTCTAATGAGTAATATGCAATTGGAGAGAAGTCCAGGTTATACTTTTAAAGGGCACAGGGCTTGTTAAGTAGAATGCCTCATAGACCGTATGAATGTCACTTAGATTTCAAACACCATGTTACTGTTCAGAAATCAAACCCTTTTACATTTTAGACAATCAAATCCTTGTGAAAGGTCGAAAACCGCCTTAAATGTTTGCCTCTCTGAGGACATAAGGTTGGTTGTTTTTGAAAGATTTGCTCAACCTCCTCTTCCTTCTCCCCTTCCATCTCTGCGGGACAGGAAGTGGAAAGGCTGAGCTCAGAGCTGGTTGGCTGTCGGCAGCATCTGGAGGTGGTCCAAAAGGACGGGAGCCAATGGCAGACCGAAGCCCTGAGCCTAGCAGAACAGCTGGCAAATGCCCAGCGCCAACTGCACCTCACCAGGTAGTACCTAATCCTATTATACATGCCACCACTAACACACACACACACAGCACTCCCCTCTGCCCAGCTCCTGCCCAGCTCAGTCCAGTTCAGACCAGCACACCAACTGTACCGCACCAGGTAACAGCTAATCCTATTATACAAGCCACACACACATAAACACATGCGTGCCGCTGTGCAATGGTCCCAGTACCAACTGGACCTCACCAGGTCACCTTTAATCCTGTTAAGCATGCCACAACATAATGCAATACACACACACACATTACCACACACTGCCCACTCTGTGCCACCAGGCCAGTGCCCAGCCCGGCCACAGCTCCAGCAGAGCCAAAATGGCGCCTGCGCCTTCTTCTGTCCGTGACTCTCTCTGTCTCTCTCTCTCACACACACACACAGAAAAGTGCGGCTGATGGTCACTGGACAGCCTGGCCTCCGTGCCACCTGCCAGCGCCCTGCACCCGTTCTCACGACGGGCGCTACCGGCTCTCCTCCCTTTGAATCCGTCTTCTCTCATTCCAGCTATTTCTGCATCTTTTTCCCAATATGGTCCCTGTTTCACCTCCTCTCTGGTTCTTCTATCCCCCCAGCCTTCTATACATTCATCCGTCTATCTTATCCTACCTGCTGCTTGCCTATGTCCTTCGCTCTCATTCTTTGCTGTTCATAATTGATAAAAAAAGATCTCTTTCTCTTTTATTCCTCTCTATCTTTTTCTTTCTTTCCGGTTATTCTTTGATCCTTTCGCGTTGTCCAGCATTCCTCCCGTCTCCTTCCACTTCGCTCTGTCCCTCCTGTCATCCACTGGCTGCTGTTCCCTTCCACACCATCCACCATCCAGGGTCACGCCAGCCCGCCCGGGGGCACTCTCTCACCCCCGCTGCCCGTAGCTGAGGTGTTTGAGATGGGCACAGATGTGGCGGTGGTGCCCTGTGGTGCTGGAGGCTGCGGGAGGGCAAGTTTGTGTAATCTTTGAGTGTGTGTGTGTGAGTTTGTCAGCTCGGTGGCGTGTAATGTGTCCACAGCAGCTCCCGATCTGTGTTTAAGTGTGTTTGTCTGTCAGCTGGCCGGTGCTGCATGGCCGCCCGTCTTGTGTCTTAGAAATGAGGCAAGTTGTGTGTTTGTGTGTTTGTGTGTGTGTGTGTGTGTGTGTGTGTGTGTGTGTGTGTGTGTGTGTGTGTGTTTTGCAGCCAGCTGTGGAGAATGACATGCATATTGATGTGGCAACATGATGACTTTGACCTGTACTAGAGGAGCTATTGGACTAAACCATTTTACTGCCATCACGTGGGTGTACATGCATGAGAGAGTTTATAGTTTTATCTTTCCACAGATGCATACTAGATGTTTGACAGCTGTTGACTTGGCTGAGCATGTAGCCATTTAAATTCAATTTTGGTCATTAGCCGTTTAAGCCACTTCTGGTACTGATTTAATACGGATATTAATGTTTATTCCAGTGCATGAAAAGCACGTTAGCATTTAGTATCAATTTAATTTGAAGCAATGTTTTGAGCTTTAACAAAGTTGAGGTACTACAGTGCAGAAAACTATAACCCCCCACAGTGATAAATAAATACATGTTTTAAAGGCTTTACAGGAACACGTTTTCCAGACTTGCACATATGTATGACATGTATGAGCTTAAAAATCTCACGGGATTGAAGATTATAAAAATGACCTAACCTATAGATAAAGCTCATTTTGCTTGAAGCTTTTGTTAGTGAAGTTCTGAACATTCACATATTTACAGCTGCCGTTGTTAAGAGGGGTCAGAGACGTGTTAATATTACCCCAAATATGGGCCAATAGGCAGGCCTTCACATCAATCAAATAAATGGAAATGACTTTTTTACCTTTTAGAGTGAAGAGAGCTACGGGTCACCACTCTGTCACGTTTGCTGTTCCGCTCCTCATTAGGCTCATTAGCAGGGACAACAAGACAGGGACTCTCGCTCTGCTGAGGACACACCGAGGGTTTTAGTTTCTATTCCCATCGCTCATAGTTAAGCTGTCCAGCCGGCTTGTTTTTCCCCAAACTTGTGTTTACTTAGAGGCCCTTAAAGTCTTTTCATCCATCCATTGATCCATCCATGTCTGTTGATAGAGATGGGGTTGTAAAATATCTTTTGAAATGAGTGCACATTTTTTAAGGAAAGAGTCCACATGTTGTGCACCCGATGGATGTGCCTCTGTGAGGTTCGGCCAAAGCCTTTCCTCCACCCTTGGGACAAGCTTTTATTTTTCATTTTAGTTTGTCTATTATCATCCCCACTTGTTATGTTGTCCGTTGCTTTCCCTCACGCTGTTCCAAACGAAGCAAATAAACCTCAAGCATTTCCCTCTCTGGGCTTATGTGGAGCTACACGTAGTTTATTGTTAGTCCTGCCACTATTGCCGTGTTTGTGTGAGAGTAGGACCGTGAGATTCACAGTAGCGAGGCTGGAAGGCGTTTGTATGACCGGCCTTGGAAGGCAGCGCTTTGATTCTCTTTCTGCAACTTGCTTGCTTCCCTCTTTTCATTCGGTCCTCCGGTCGCGGTCCAAATGATCACAGCCCGTATTCAAATAGGGGGACCCGAAGCACCGACAGCGCCTCTTTGACGACCGATAGCCCCGCCTTCCTTTCTGATGAACACAGATTTATGCAGTCGTACACACACACACACACACACACACACACACACACACACACACACACACACACACACACACACACATTTGTTTGTACAACTGCATGCCTGCAAATGTGCACACTTGATACGCACATCAGTCAAATCCACATGCCTGTACACACAGCCTCGCACACATGCAGATGCATGCACGCACTCGGGGGGTCCCATGGCGGCTGGTGCGCTCCAGGATTGGATCATCAGCCAGCTGTGAGTTGGACAGCCCAGGATCTGTCCTAATCCCCGCCACTCTGTTCACATCGCCTCACACACACACACACACACACACTCTCCCGGCCCAGCCCAGCAGAGGGCTTTACCAAGTTTGTTTTGTTTGTTTGCTCCTGTCTTTCTTCACTTTCTTTCTTCTTCCCTCCATGTCTCCTTCCAGCCTTATCTCTCCCTGCGTTGTGATCCCAGATCCCCAAGGCCTCTGTGAAAACTGCCCAGCATAACTGCTGTTTCAACACATGCCAGATAGGCACGAATGTGGATGGATGTGTGTGTTTGCATAGTGTATCCGTGGTTAGAAGAGACCTGTGTGCCCGCTTTGTGGTTTGGACGAATCCAACGTCTGCGAGGTCCCAGATCTTCCACCAGTTCTCGTTATCTCCATGAAATCGAGCATCCATGTTCATGGGGGTGCCTGCTTTGAGCGGTCGATGGACACGAAGCGGAAAATTACAACGCTTCAGTGAATACGTGCCGTCACTTTCTCACAGAAGTCGAAAGTGATTTTACTCGTAGGCTATTGTTTTAGAGAAGAATTGTCGATGATGAAGGGCAGAGCCTTCTGTTTCTTCAGTTAATCTCAAATATAATAGTGGCCTTAAAATCCGAAGTCTTACCTGTTAGAGAATTTGTCCAGGTGGAGGAATATTTTGAGGACATCTTGAACCGATGGAGGGTTCTGGAGACTCAACATTCTGAGGTTACTTCTTACGGGTCTGCAGTGGCATGAGGTTTAAAAAGAAACCTGTATTCCTTTAAAATAAAGGACGCCAATTCAAGCGGTAGAGGCATGTGATGAAGTTGCCGCCCCGTGGATGTATTCAGGGAATGTCCAGCTGGGAACTAAACAAAATGTAGAAGATTTTAGAGGGATTATTTGTCTGTATTATTGTGTGACTGTAAACGCACTTCTATAAAATGTTATGGGATGAGGGATAATGTACATTCATCAATCGTGATAAAGCAGTGGGTAAAACAGACCGGTGAGCAGGTGGAAGGAACTAGAACGAGAGCCCTCATTCTCCTCTCTGTGACGCTGAAATCAGAAGATGGATGCTGAAAAGCAGATAAATAAAAAGCTGCAGACCCACTGCTGTGACAAGTTCCCCAAACTCTATTAAACATGTCACGCTGCTGCTCCCACTCTCTCTCTCTCTCTACCTAAACTGAGTTCTTTTTGTCCTCCCCTCAGTTGTAGATCGTGACGGCAAGGCCTGGAGAGGCGGTGCACAGAACTGTGTTTGTGCGTTTGTGTGTGTAAGGGCGGAGAAGTGTAAATGAGGAAGGTGAGGCAGCAGATGCCGCGTCCCGCCAGAGGCTCGCTTTGAGCAGCGAGTGAAATCTGGGCGCGACAAAACTGCTGCAAACCAACTCGGCGGGAGGCCCTTGTCCAATCACGGCCCGGAATAAAAGGGCCGGGGCGCCACGCGGGCTGCAGTCGCAACAGGAGAGGTGGGGGCTGTAATGAACCCTCAAGCTCTGCCAGCGAGGGCACACGCACACGACACACAGCACAGCATCTTTATTTCTACCCGGCAGTAGCAATGCCTAAGCACTGTCGCCACACACAAACGCACATGCACAACCTCCACAGCGACCGTGTGCATGAAGTCTCCATGTGTGCGCACGTTGACTCGTTTTGTGAGCGCGCGACTAGATGAGTCTGTGCGCGCGCCTTTGTGCAAACGAGTGTCGATACCTTTGGGCTACACCTGTGTCTGTGAAGTTTGATGTTCTCTGTGACAGCAGCGGGGCAGAGCCAGGTATGAGGCTTGCTGTTTGTGTGTGTGTGTGTGTGTGTGTGTGTGTGTGTGTGTGTGTGTGTGTGTGCGCGCGTGCACACACTTGTCTGGTCGGCAGCCATGTTGGGTAGCAGATGGCACCACGGTTGGCAGGGGAGGGGCTGCTTAGCACAACTAATCAGACAGTTACGGATAGGGCAGCTGGGAGGGCCGTTGGCCAAACGTGTGTGCGTGTGTGTGTGTGCGCGCGCACCCCAGAGTGCCATGATGTTGACAGTGGTGGGCCCGTTGGCCTGGTGACGAGACCTCGCCGCGTTCTTCTCTCCTCGCTGTCGGAGTGCCCTCTCTGCCATCCT